GAATCTGTACCCTATGGGTCTTCATCACTCTGCTCTCCCCCCAGTACTCAGCATACGACGTCACCTCACGATCTTGGAGATCGTGAGTACTTTGAGGCCCATCTTCCCGTGATGCCGGCACGTTCGCTACGCGAACGCCAAGTCGCCGCTGCAAGAGGGCTCACGGCTCTCTATGCCGACTAAGCTCGTGGGGCCAAACTCTCCAAAATCCTACTTTCTTGACTAAACTTGCTATGCTCTCGATCCTTAACTCCGCAGTGGGTTCTCCGGGATTTCCGCAAGGTCCGGGCTCAGTGTCCACTACTCACTCGTTGTGAGCTAGATCACTGCCCTTATTCCTACTGTTGGAATTCCACACACTCACACCCTCTCTAGCGCGTCCTAGCACCTTAGAGAAAATTGGGGGAGGGAGAACTTCTATTCCAAAATCCGGTATGTACAGGATATAAGGAACAATTATTTTTAGAATAATTGATGAGAAATATTGGTACCATATGGCACCTGGGTACCTTATTAGGCGAAATAATAAAAAGGGTAACAGTAACAATAAAAGAATATCAATCAATAACTGAAATGATGGTGAAATATGAAAATAAAAGAAAATAAGCGATTTCTCAACGGATTTACGGAATTAAGATCCGAAATTGGAAATGTGACTTAATAGAACTATTATGCAGCCAATGAGCATTTTTACCAATTTATTAGACGCCGTGGGAACGAGTGAGGCTGGAATTCTGGGTTGCCACTTGAGATTCCCACGCCCGCACATGCTCGTGACCTGCTGTGCCTAACTTCTCCAACACGGAACTCCGTCAAATCTCCACCGATTGGGACGTTCTTGGTATCGTCAGAATCGTACGAATTAGCACTATTTTTGGATACCAAATTCGTATCGAGTTGTCGCGTGAATGGAAGTGGTTTCTGAATGTTAGAAGCGGGTATCCGAGCCGGCTCTGCATGTGGGCAATTATCCCGCCTACACCACCCATCCATCATCTGTTCCCTCCTTCGCCAGTCATCATGTTTCCCCGCCAACGGTACGTTCCCTTTGGGAATGCCAAGTCACCGAAGGCCCTACTAGTCAGTCCTCATTGCACACTTATGACATCAACCCGCTACCGGTACATTCGCACTGCGAACGCCAAGTACCCGATGGCAACTATATGAAGTTCTCACCCATCTCACAAGTTGCGACCTCGCACACGGTACGCTGTAGGCAGGATAATCGCCCACACGCAGAGCCGGCTCGGATACCCGCTTCCACCATTCAGAAAACCCCTTCCATTCACACAATAACCCACCACGGAGTTAAGGATCGAGTCAAGCGAAGTTTAGAGAGAAAGTAGAGAGTTTAGGAGAGTTTGGCCCCACGAGCTTAGTCGGCATAGAGAGCCGCTAGCCCTCTTTCATTTCTGGTGGTCCTTACAGGGGGTCACTCTCGTTTTTACGGACGTTTCATCAAGTTTTCACGCATCGTTGGAGTTTATCAAGTCTCAGTTGGATCTTACGGACGCTGGACTTGGAGTTTATCAGTTCACACAAAGGAGTTTTACGGAAGTTCGAGAAGAGTTTTATTGCGCGAGTCTAGGAAAGGGTACATTGGGTATCTAAATGGCACACGTCGTTGAGCCGTTTGGTTTCCAAGCCGAGGAGCACGGTCCTCAGCACGAGTATGATGAGGTAGAACAAGAGTATGAGTACGGAGAAGAAGGAGTCCTGGAGAATGAAGGTGGCGAAGCACCAGAGTTGGATGGGACTCATCAGAGTGTGGCTGGAGTCGCGGCCGCAACTGTTCACACAACAGTTACGCGCATGCCAGGGCCACGGAGTAGAGAAGCGCCGAGGTTTAGAGGAAAGAAGGTGAAGAAGTTTCTGTACGAGTTCGAGTTGCAGGCACGGAGTGCGCGGCTATCGAATGTGCAGAAGTGTGAATACGTTGTTTCATACTGCATGGAGCGGGAGGCGAAGTTTATCAGGACACTCACCTCGTTTAAGACTAAGCTTTGGAGTCAGCTCAAGTCGGAGTTACTGAACTTCTATCCTGCAGAGCACGAAGATCGAGTATATAGAACGCGAGACCTTAGAAAGTTCGTCAAGAAAGATCGCAAGATTAGACGCCGATCCCAGTTCGACGATTATCGGCGGAAGTTTCAGGTAATGGCCTCTTCGCTTGAGGAGAGAGGAGTTCTCCACACGGTGGAGCGCGACGATTGTTTCTTTAGAGGAATAAAGCCAAAGAGTTTCAGAAAGCTGATCAAGCGCAAGTTGAAGTCACAGAGTAGATGGACGGACCTTACGAAGCCTCCATCGATGAGCCAAGTTGTTGCGACGGCGAAGCATCTGCTGAAGCATGACTTGTACCGCGATGACGATTCGGATGTTGATTCGGATAGTGATGATGACGGATCGGACAGTGATTCGGAGTCGAGTTCAGGTAGTAGTGACGAGAGTTCAGACTCGGAGTCGACGGATGATGATAGAATGAGGCGCATGGTTCGGAAGCGCCACGAGGTAGTGAAGAAGGTACCAGTGAAGAGAGTCCAGAAGAAGTTGCCGGCGACGGCAGAGATGTCGAAGTCTGCGGATAAGAGACCAGAGGCGCCAGCAGTAGCTCCTAGAGTTGAGCCGGACGCGGGTTTCAAGTCCAACATGGACGATTTGGCGGATAGGATTAGCAAGCTGACGATTCAACTTACTAGAGTGCACGAAAGACCTAGAGTCGGACCTCAGGTGTCCACGAGTGGAACGTTGAAGTGTTACATGTGTGAGGACGAGGGGCACGGAGTTAAGGATTGCCCCGAGACGAGAGCATTCTTAGCGGCGGGCGTGTTGAAGCTCGATGCCACCAATAGATTGGTTATGGCAGATGGCAGTAGGCTACCGCATGCTTTTGGCGAAGAGAAGTTAGCGCGATTGATAAGACAGAAAGCCGCGATGCGCACCACAGCCAACTTAGAATGGATGCGAAAGTCTGAGACAGCGATTCACGAGTTCGGAGGGTTAGGAGATGCTGTGTACGAAGTGTTTCCAGCTGAGAGAACGGAGAAAGAGAAGGGGAGGTCGTCGAGATCGAAGCCATATGAACGGCCGATGAGTCCTCAGCCACCCCCACCCCAAGTTAGATCGATGCCGCAAGACAAGTTGAGAAAGAACGCAGTGCCACCGAGCCGGGCGTACGTTGAACTGCCGGCTAAGCCACCGGTTATTCTTAAGAGACCGTCTCCAGAGTCGAGTGGTCCATCGAGAATGAATGTAGATCGAGAAGAGCCAGCTTCGCGAGACAAGGGAAAGCAGAGAGCTGACCCTCAGGTTGCGTCGAACCCGAGAGCAGTTCCCAGCTCGAGTAAGACTAAGAAGTTGCCTGAGAACGTTGAAGTGCGGGACCCGAAGCGGGCGAGTTTTAGACAGAAGTCAGTTCCAGCGTATCGATTTGCGTCAGAGTTGCAAGAACGCGTTAAGAACGACGACTTGTTCGAGCGTTTGATGGACCAGAATGTCACTATTCCGCTGGGAATGATTTTCGGGACTTCTTACGAGCTCAACAAACGTTTGACTGCTGCAACGAAAATACATAGAATTCCTACGAGACAGACTAACATGGTAGAGTACATGACGGACGAAGGAGAAGACGAAGACGAAGTGGAAGTGAAAGCGATGAACACAGAGGTTTCATCGATTTCGACTGAGGTAGCCAACCTCGACGCGGAAGTTAAGTATGACGACGATCGGGCCAAGTATACTTCGGCCCAGAGCGATCCAGCGAGTAAGACGGAATGGACGGACGGTTTCGCTATCTGTGTCAACGTAGATGCAGAGATCGCATCGGCAGATCGAGTAACGCCGAGAGTTTTGGAATTAGGAAGTGATGAGAGACTTACGCGGACGGTTGAGCACGGTAGTCGAGTGAGGCCCCGAGTGCGAGAGCCCCAGCTTAAAGAGCTCAGGCCTCCAGGCCTTCGTCGTAGTTCATGTGCGATGAGCACCAAGTTGACGATCGACTCAGAGATTAGAGAAGATGTCGCGATTCCAAGTGTGGATTCGAGTTTTGATGACGGACGGGCATCGATTGCCAACCTAGATGGACAGGAGAGTCAAGTTAGTAACGGGTCGTTGGAACGGATGAGCAGAAACGAAGAGTTTGATGGCGTACGAGAGCAATATGACACGGAGTCAATGGCCAGCGGACATGAAGTTGGATTAGGAGAGAGCGCGATCGTCCCTGCGCCAGAGTCCCCAGTCAATTCGATTGATGATATGACGGATCTAGACGAAGTTCACGAGAGTCAGATCAGAGCACATGAAGGAAGTTACAAAATACTGTTTGAGTTTGACGACGAGTCGAGTACGATGAGCAGCAGCCACGTTGGCACCCCAGAACGAGTTCAGTTTGACACGATGGAGTATGAGACCAGCGACGAGAGTTTGTCAGATGTGATGGCAGCAGACCTGCCCAGATCGCGCGAGTTTGATGTGATCGAGTCTGGCATACCAGAGTGTTTACCTCAGGCGAAAGTTGAGTTTGCGAGTAAAGAGGAGATAGAACGAGAGACAGAGTCAAAAGAGCTTAGGCCTCCCAGCCTTCGCTCTAGCATAGTCGGAATGCATGAAGAGTGCGCGGACAGTTCAGAGTTAAGCGATTCAGGATGTAGCGAGCAGGACGTCGAGTTTAAAGAGCTAAGGCCTCTCAGCCCTTGCTCTACTGTGGTTGAGGAGTCTCTCAGCTTCAGTCCTAGCGAGTATTCTTATCAGACGGCTGACGATGACGAGGTTAGAGATGAGATTAGAGCGCGAGTGTCTCAGTCGAAAGATCCTCCGGCAATGCGGAGTGACTTGTGGAAGATGTATGGCCCCTGTGGCTACTTCATGCCCTGGAACACATTCCCAGTTGTCGTGGATCCAGCGCAGAGAAGTTCAGAGCAGTTGTTGGGATGCGATCTAGAGATCGAAGCGCCCACGGAGTCAAAGTTAAGCGCAGCGCAGCCACCAATTCAGAAGGGCGGCAACGTGATCGAATTCGTTGAAGCACAACCTACGCGATCTGTGGCCACAGTTTTAGACGAGAACGAGAGTACAAGGACGAGCAGCTTTTCGTTTGAGCGCAACATGGTACAGAACAGTTACCCCAACGACGCAGGAAGAGAGAATGCCGCGAGAGTCTTTGAGCCAGACAGGAAGTTTGCAACGCAGCGGAGATTGGAGCACCAGAGAGGAAGTCGAGGATTAGGAGGACTGTCAGGTCCACCCCATCTTCAACCTCCTGCACCTGGGCGACATTCCCCATTTCGAAGAACCGTAGCCACGGAGCCCAAGTTAGATTGCGACATGGCTCAGAAAGTCGAGAACTACGCAGCGGAAGTGACCAAGTTGAGACGAGAGTTAGAAGCGGAGAGGCGAAGGAATGCCACACCCCCGTTAGTCCAGGGCACCATCAGCTTCTCAGTGGAGTCGGAAGAGAGAACGTTGGAAGTTAATGCGAGTACGCGAACGAGCAAGAGGAGGCAGGTGGACGAAGACAGGACGGCAAGGAAGAACAATGTCAGAGACGACAATAGCGCTGTTACGTTGGCGCGAGTGCATCAGTCAAAGGATCCTCCATCCAAGCGCGGTGACTCGAGGATTATGGACGGTGTAATTCATGAAGTTTCCGAGTACGACAGCAGTTTTGGACTAGTAGCGCGTGAGGATGAGTTTAAAGAGCCAAGACCTCCTGGCCTTGAGCTTAGCCGAGTTCTGTGCGGCAGGTTTAGTGAGACGTGGACGGACGATAGTGAAGAACGAGTGGCAGGAGTGGCCCAGCCTAAAGACCCTCCTAGCATGCAGAGTAGTCTTTACATGCAGTACGAGAGCAGTGGCGGATACAAGTTCGAAGAGTTGAGGCCTCCCAGTCCATATCTTACTTCAGACAAGAAGGGCGGTGTGAGGCAGGCGAGTTCGAGTCTTGATGTGTGGATGGACTTGGCGAGAGGACAGTTCCATCGAGAGAGATCGGCGACGAGAGAGACGGAGATGTGGAAAGGAAAGGTCGCAGAAAGAGATGAGGTGAGGCCTTCGGTGGCCGGAACCTCGGGGTCTGTGCGAGGGAAATTGTACTTCAAGGATGACCCGATGATGAGTAGCGAGAGTAGCGAGAGCGAGGTAGACAGATTGACCTCGGGAGGAAGGAAGTCCAAGACGACTAGGACTTAGTGATGATCATGTACGATAGGATGAGGACGGAAATTTTGTTTGGAAATATTTATGCGGGGACGGGAAGACATTTATGGTTTAACTTTAATTGTCGATGCTCGCAGGACGAGTAGTTCATTCTCAGGGGACCTCATGCGCATTGTGAGGGACCACAATAAGAGCTAGGCCTGTATGTAGGCGGGATAATCGCCCACGCGCAGAGCCGGCTCGGATACCCGCTTCCACCATTCAGAAAACCCCTTCCATTCACACAATAACCCACCACGGAGTTAAGGATCGAGTCAAGCGAAGTTTAGAGAGAAAGTAGAGAGTTTAGGAGAGTTTGGCCCCACGAGCTTAGTCGGCATAGAGAGCCGCTAGCCCTCTTGCAACGCTCCATTGAGGAGCGCCAAGTACCCGTGGCTGACCCATCCATCCTGGCATCTCCGACTACCTACCATCAATCCCTTAATAGCTCACTACATCACCAATCACGATCGATGGGAACTCAATCGTCCACCCCCAGGCAAGACTGGGATCACTCATCGATTACATATCCTGTTATGGTACAGACCAAATATGACCTCACTCATCCCTCTATAAGAACGGATCGAGGAATGGGGAATTTCCCCCATCCCCGTAACAGCATGGCTCCACAAGGCAAGACCATATGCGGGACTGCTCAGTATCCTCGGCCCACTCGTGCTTTTAGTGTTTGCCATATTGGGCAATTTCAGGTTGGGAAAACTCAACATACCGTTGCCAGGCAATGCATTCGTTTCCGGTCTATATGGCCTCGGTTCCTGGAGAGTCTTCGTATTAGGGGGTTTCACGATGGGCTAAACTAGCCTAAAGTGCATCAAAACTGCTGATCCTAAACTGCACCTAAACCGGTTCTAAACTGTCAGTTTAGCTAAACTTGAGAACGTGCCTCCAAAGGCCAAAGCTGTACTTTAGAGTAGTCTAAACTCCAAACTCGAACTCGGGCTTAATATCCATATGTCTGTTGCAGACTGTACAGTTCCTTCACTGAATTAGTCCCATCTTTTGCTCTTGCTATCAGCACCTTATGCCTCCAAAGCGGGTTCAGGGAGATCACTCTCACCCTGCCGAGTCTACTCCGAAGCGCCGCCGCTCTGCAGGGATCTCTCTCACAGAAACTCCAGTCAAGTTGGAAGTCCAGAAGATCCAGTGGGATGCCAATCCTCGTTGGACAGACCGCCTTGTCACACATCTTGCTGAGAATCCTGACATCCGCCTGAAAATATTCAGCGACTCCGCAGGCCAGGCCAAGGAGGAAGGCCGCAAGAAGGTAAACTGGCTATAGTATGCTCAAAGAAGATTCTTCTTGCTTTCTGACTCCTTTCCCAGGTTGTAGGCGGCAAGGCAAAGATTACTTATTACCGCAACATCGCAAAGGTTTGCTTTGATGTTGAGAATGAGCCAGAGTGCACATCATACACAGCAGAACCTGGCCGCTATGCCACTTCAGTGATGGGTCGGCTCAACACGTATGTGTGGATTCCCTTTCCTGTTTCACACTTGTGCCTAACTTTGTGTTCAGGCTCCAGAAAACATATCAAAAGTATCGGAAATCACTTCGAGTAACAGGACAAGGGGTGAAGGATGATGATGAGAACTGGGATAAAATCGGTGTGTCAAACCCTTTTTTTTTGTATACACTTTTCGGTGCTATACATATTTCTTCATATTACTGATATGCTTGGCATTGGCAGAACAGGTCCGGCAGGCATTTCCATGGTGGGATATGCTTCATGAGTGGTGGAGCAAACAACCCAAGCACGATATTGATTTAATCACAAATTCCAACTCCGGTGCGGCCAAAATGGCTAAAGATTTGGAGGAACTTGTCGCAAAAGATGATAGATCACCAAAACTCGCAACTAAAGTGGCTGAAGATTCCTCTGATGAAGTATGGTAGTTAGTTCAAAATTCCCAGCAACAATCCTAATCACAGTGGTCTCAACTAGGAATTGGATACGAAGGATGGTGTCAGCCAGCCAACTTCAGAATTGCCATTCTCTCAGGCTCCCACGGAACCATCCAGTCCAACTTGTGCTCCGGGTTCCCCACATCTGAATCTAGCCAAATCTCCACTCAGCCTACCTACAGCAGCACTCCAGAAGAAGGGGGAAAGCTCGCGCACAGCTTCACGCTTGGCTACCCCCCAACCAAAAAGGGATTATATTGCGGATTTGCAAGAGGCAACACGGGTTGATCAACAACAATCACAGCATGAGGCAGAGCAGCTGCACACCCAAAAGCTCAAGATGATTGAGTATAAAACGGAAAAGTTGAGGTTGAAGCACTTGAAGGTACAGTTACGGCTTGCAGAGCTCGGTCAGCAGTCAGCAGCTATGACACACCAACCACACATGGGCCTTCCATTAAACACTCATCTTTACGGACCTGGGCAGCCAGCACCAAACTCCGCAGGTCTACCATTCATGCTGGAGAACGAGTTAGGTCTCAATTTCCATGCAGATGATAGTTTTCAGGGAAATCAAGAGAGTAACATGTAATCACAATATCCTAATATACTGCAGTGAAGAGCGCTTCTTGAACAAGTTGGCGCTTGGTTTGTCCAGCATTTTCACCTGGGAGTGGTTCCAAGGCTCCATTCCAGGCAAAACCATACACCGGGTCATCATCCTCATTACTCTCCTGACCTTCCATGCCCTCATCAATCCATTCCCAGAAATCGGCTTCATAAATGGAGTCCTCAACACGCGAGACAAGAGCATGAACTATAAGACATGCCCGTACCCATGCCAGTGCCAGCACATAATCCCATTGGGAGTTAATTTGTTGGCGCAAACCACGTAGAGACTGAAAGCAACCCTTGAGGTACCCAACAGCATGTTCGGACCTAATCCGGACCTATGATAACTTAGTAATTAGCATATTAAATGGACAGAAGAGAAAGCGCCGACAGACAGTAGAGAGATGATAATTGAATTGGCGATTGTGTGGCAAAAGTGAATATGGACTCTTGTATGGCACAACACACCAGGGAGAAAGGCCATATGCGGAATCTGCCCACAGCCATTCACCATTCCGAAAGAGAACATCAGATTCCTTGAATGCACGAGACTCTTTGAATGCGGTAGAGTCATGCACACTGCCAGGTGGACCAAGGACATAGTCGATAATGCGGAGATTGGGCAGTGTCACTAGCTAGAATCAGGGGTAATAAGTAGGAGAGCCAGTACAGGAGTAATCATCATACCGTTAGGCTCAGCGAGTAATTTGATTTGCGATCAAAAAATTGTTCTCCGAAATGGCCCGGCTTTGATGCAAGGGGTATGAGCGTTCCATCAACCATGCAAAACCCAGGACGCCAGGCATGGCATGAAACACTCTCAACCCAGTCTGACGCTTCGCATTTCTCACCAGAATTAGGCCATCGGATTGCCTGGTCATGAAGTGGTATAATTGCTATCATAACACGGCGCGTTGCTTTGACAACAGCACCTACACTGCATCCTGCCCACTGTGCAACGGCCTCCACTGACACTGCACTCCCGAAATGACCGAACCGATACAGAGCGATTGCAAGTTGATATAGGATCGGCAGCTGTGGGATCTGAGACCGAGTCTGGAAGATAGGATGGTGCTCTACTAGAGACATGATTACATCAAAGCTGGAGGGAGAGATACGAAGATTTCTTCGGAAGCGTGGGTGGTCATCAAACTTGTAGCATTGGAGAACAAGTGCAAGCTGACTGCACTTGGAAACATCATTGGGGAAAAGAACTCGGATACTAAGGAGTACGCTTAAAAAGCATCGGGCACGGTGAATAGAACGGATGTAAGACTTGCGGAGGAGAAGCAGTGAACGTCCGGTGTCCGCTTCGGACTCAGAGAATATGGAATATGTGCGGGAAGTATCACTATTGCTGTTGGAATGACTGTTACTACTGGAGCTGGAGCTGGAGCTGCTTGAGCTGCTGGATGTGATGCTTGATATGTCCCAGTCATTAGAGGGCCCAGTGCGCGAAGAGGAAGATGATGATAGGATCTCGGAAAAATCGTCGCCATAAGCTGTCAAGAGCCGGCGTCGTTGAATATAGTACCGCCTCTGAATAAGCTCAGCATGCTGGACAGCGGCAGCAATGACATGTCGGCAGTCAGAGACAGTGGGCATGAAGTTTGCAGTTGTTACATAATCTACACGTGGTGTCGGCGATAAGGAGCTGTGGTCCCAAATGTTGAAGTGAGTTTAGGCCTAGTTTAGGAATAAGACCATCGTGAATACTTCTCAACTCCCCCATAAACTGGACTCTTAACTGTCCCTCAACTCGGGTCACTTCAAGTCTAGTTTACATCCCAGTTCAGTACCACTTTAGCTCATCGTGAAACCCCCTATTGTCAACTTGGTTCGCGATATGGAAAACCCTGCCGCGGAATGCCATGCCAGGCTTCGACCCCGATCTAATAGCTTCCACGGTAATCATAATGATGTCGTCCGCTGACTTTGCACCCATATCGAGAGACTTGGGGAGTGCCCCCAGCAATTGTGGCACGGTTTCATTGCAGCAGCGATGTATACACATTTCGGTGTTGGCGCTGCGTTTGTCGCAATTATTTCTACTCTTTCCCTTTGGATCTTACAAGATCACAAACCTCTTCAAGCCTCCGCGCGTTCGCTGGTCCTATGGATCGCCAATTTGATATCAACCCTTGTCGCTATGGTCCAATACGAACGTTTACTCCATCACATCTCATCATCACTTTGCGCCTCTCGCTCATATCCTGCCATATCCATGGGATCGCCTTTGGATACCGCCGGGTTTGTTTGGGGTTGGCGAGTGTTCTCAAGGGTCCTTGTGGGCGAATTCACTTCCCATGATTTATTCAGAGATTTCGTTGTGATATCATTGGTGTTTGGGGCCTTAGTTGCCGTGTCATTCGCTATCGTGCTTCATCCTCAGGCAACCTGGGTTGGACGCGTTACCACAGTTCCCTTTCTTGTGTGTTGTTTTGCTTTGTTGTTTGTTGTAGAGGCTGTGGTGCTCCCAAGTGTTTTGTGCTGGCCGGCTGCACTCATCTCTGGAAGCCCGTGGTTTCCGGAATCTGGGATTTCCTGGCGAGACTGGGACCAGCTTGCTGCAATGATCGGCTTCATTTTGTCCAAATTATTCGAGCTTCTGCCTCCCGTCTTCGCACGTCTCGGTTTAACCTGGGAAGTGTGCTTATTCAAGTGGCTCAGGCCGTACGCTCCAAGTTGGCTTCGGCAACGTCTGCCACAAGCACCCGACAGCAGCATTTCCGAGATGGTGGCCGATGGTGGCGAGCCGGACGGCATAATTCATTCGTCCCGGTTGACGTCGAATGTGGGCATGCATATGGATGGGACGCCAGCTGGTGCGTTGCACCAAAGAGCCACATCGGAAATCGTCCAGAACACTGACACATGCAACCGGTCGTCTGACGCTCCAACCCCGGAGAATGGTTCAACCATCGCAGCATCATCTGATCCTGGGCCTTCCACAATTCGGAAGCGCGCAGCCCGGGATGACACAGAAGCCAGGCACGTACATTGGGATTCAATGCGTCTACTCAAGTAAATACTCATTCTTCGATTAAGTCCACCACTATCCACGCAATCTCCCCCATCCGAGTTCAAACGGCCAGAGGCAGCTCTCCTCCCAGATGAAGTAGTAGATCTTATGGGTTATCCGGGGACAGCTCTTATGCTTGGACAGACCTGTGTATTCTTGAGGGTGCAGTGAGACGAGATATCCCCTAACTATTGGGTGTTCCCTGCCGCTCCAATGCCTGTATCTAGTCTGTATTGCTTGCGTTATGATTTGGTCATGGTTGTGTCTGCCCTCGAGTATCTCTCGGTTCGGTGTACTGCATGTGACCGCGCCACACTCTCGGCCGCACGATGACAGCGAGTCGGATACTGCGACAGAAAATTAATGATGCTGCCCTCACGGGAGCCTACCACTGGGACAGCAAATCGCCATGATATGTATATTGTTCTCTTGTGGCTCATCATCAATTAATTAAGTTCAAACCTTTGCTTATCTCCGATTTGAAGGTCGGTCTTCATGTTGGGCTCCACTCCAAAAGTTAGTCCCAAAGCGCTGAGGTCGGTCATAATGTAAAGCCAATTGTTCGCCAAGGCCAGGGACAAGATTACGAGACTAATGTGAGAAGGAATGAAATACAGATCCCGGATTCCGTAGGTTGGCATATTGTACTGGGTCTCATAGACGATGCCATGACTGGATGGACGATTGAACTGATCGAGCTATCGTCATCAGCTCCCAGGTAAGTAGAGAACCGGGGGATGAGACAACGGTCCAAGCCTAATCAAGCTAGTCCATCGTGTCGTGCATGGTAGCCCCCAGACTGAACTCATGCCCCTGGCGAAGCAGGAAGCGAGTCTTGAGCTCCTAGATAAGCTGGCGCCTTTACGCATAGATCAGCCTCACGGTGCGCCGACATGGAAGTGTTAAACCTTTAAAACCATCCAGGCAAAGTGTTCCAAACATTAAAACAGATCCCACTATTCGATATCCCTTTCAACTATGTGTATCGATGCCTATCCAATCCCTACCCTACCGCTAATCCCGTTCAAGAAGGCGTCCAATGTTATCGTAGGCATCAATATTCTCATCGATCTATGCATGCGCGCCTTGATGGCCGGGCTTCTGCATGCAAGGTCTGGTCCTACGGCTCTGAAAGGACGGACCAGGGGTGGAAGCGCTGAGGAAGTTGGTTACGCTTAGAGAGACCTAAGGCCCAAATAACAAAAGCAGGCTTGCCGACTGTTAATTGCTGGAGCTTGATATCATCATTATTAAGCTAGGGCATAATAATCAAAGTGCCTCTGTGATGGGGAGGGGCGTTGTTTACGTTGATGTATGGCATTTGGTCAACATCGTAACCTACCGAATTTTATCACGAAGATTTGGGAAGCTCACCCAATGCATGGGATTGTCATCTCGAGAGGAATTGGCAAAAGGAGCATTCGATTGAGGAGAGACTTGGCTCCATCTTGCTTGAACGGTACGTACTGAACTGAATGTCACAGGGGACGAACGGGTCGAAAGGAGATGGACGAGTTGACTGGGTGGTCACAAAGGACGGAGCCAAGACAAAAAATCGTTGTTTGCATGATGATGTCATCTGTCGACTACTTAATTGCATCGGAATTCTTAGTCCTCCTTGAATTTCAGGACGAAGAAGGGCGGTGCGCGAGTATGACATCAAAGAATAAAGAGCCTCGGGGATTTATAGCAAGGGGCACCGGAACACTCAGCCTATTTCAGTAAAATTCTCTGCTAACAACCCCCACCGTCCTGAAGTATTTTCGCCCGTTATAGCGTTTGGGCACGAAGTAGCGGAAAACATCTCTTGGAGTTTGTAATTAACGAGTCTCAATGCAAACAAGATACTCGATCCACGAACTACTGTTGAAACGTGACGTTATACTATTTATCCTTCCGAAGATCTTATCGTTTCCTGGGGAAGACATTCCCTAGAAGCACTTTCTGGAGATTATGCTGTCTTCTCTTTAGAAGCATCGGCCTTCACCGGCGTCCCTTGCTGGCTCTTGACATTCTTCCAAATCCTTCTCGCATCCATTTTTGCACTTGACGGCGCACGGTAGTGCACGGCGTAGACTCTATAAGCATAGATCAAAGTGAGCACGATAACGCTCACACTCCGAGCCTCGAGAGGGGTCATCAACTGGACTGCGCTTCCTTGTAGTAACGGCGCCGACCAGCTATCCTTGTCTATGTTCCCAAAGAGGAAGGGTGCGTTTGAGATGAGGAATCGTTGGATAGGCGCGTATGAGGGGTGTGAGCCGATCAAGAACCCATAGATGAGGGAGACAACACTCCCACTCCATATGTCCAAGGTCCCGAGGAATGAGCCACTTGGGGTGTTTGAGCGAAGAAAGGGAGGGGTGGTGAAGGACCAATGCGCTGAGAAGACGTTCAAAGTTCCTGCCAGTACACCTCCCCCTGCTGAAGCCACAGCACCTAAGAGGAGTTGAAGGAACAGAGATGATCGCAATTGTGGGTGAGTAGGGTGCGTGAGAGCGAGATGGATCGAGGAAGTGATACCTCCTGTGCGGAGGATGGCATCAACCATGGGGAGAACTGTGTCAATAAATTTGAGGAGGGAAGGGGAAGGGAACGCTTGGGAGAAGAGAGTGGAGAGAAAGACATGAGGGGTTAAGTAGTTGATGTATGGGTGAAGCGAGAGGATTTGAGGCGGTGGGAGAGAGAGCAGGGAATGGACGCCGAGAGTGCCGCCCCAGCACTGTCGTCATTGTCCGCCGGCATATCAAATACGATAAGGGTGTTCAAGTGACATGTACACCAATTGTTAGGACACACGACGGTGGATTTACTGGAGATACCACTCACCATTAACAGGAACCCTGCATATTCTGCCGCACGATCTATCTTCATAACTGTTCCTAATGCCTGTGCACGGGCACAGAACGCAAGGCTTACTCGAGCAGCATGAAGCGTCGTGATCCACGGATAGGGGAATAATGTGGGATGAACGAGTCCGGTAGTAACAGTATGCGTGAGCTGGGCAATAAGAGTGAACAAGTACTTAAGCATCTACTTCAGAAGAAATCCAGGACCCAGATTATCTGATCTGAACAAAAGAGGGCAGTCTAAATTCCTTGGAGGGCGTCGCTTGTGGACAGTGTCACTGGGTTTGTAGACCTTGGGCGTGTCACGAGAGCGGGCACAGATATCGTGGGAAGCCGCACTCCATCAAGTGGAGGGCATGGGGTCTTATGCATTTCCATGATTAGCGTTAGCCCATGTCAAATAGGCATGCTGGATGTCTCCGTATCAGGTATGTACCACGATTGTCTTCGAGGCGATTGTGCCAATTCCCAATCATCTTTTGACTTGTATTTAATTGATTATTTTTATCTGTGAGGCTGAGTGCGAATCTGTCCATAGGTTCCTCCCCACAGCTTAACAATTGTATAGATAGCCATGAGCCCAAGTCGCTTGTTGGTGTAATCCCCTCCATAATAGCGCTCGCATGATGATAAACGACGGTTGCCGGGCTGGTAAACAATATTTAGAAGTGGCTAGGGCGTGTTGCGGGGGCATCGTGGGAAGCCGTGCCCCATTACTGACAGAACAATCATGCGGGGTCTTACGCGTATGATGGATGACCATGATTGGCGTTAGCTCAGGTTGGATAGGCATGTTGGGGGTATCCCTGTCACTGCGACTATCTTCATTTGTCTATAGCCGCGATTGTGCGACCTCCCAATTATCTCCTGACATTTGATTGATTGGTTTCATTCGTGAGGCCATCGAGTGCGAGTCAGTTCATGCATAGGCAAATTCTTTCCATGGCCTCTTCTGTATTGCTGATACTTTGCTATATAATCACGGCGAGCACATGCTGCTTCCACGAGTGGGACACAAATGTGCTTTTAATCCCGAACATTTCGTCTAACAGACATAGGCATGTGTAATGGCCTCGTATCCAAGGGTGCAACGCTGACATCGCAATGCAGGGTCTCGACTCCCAAGTGAGCTATCGCGCCATGTCAACTTTCATCAGCTCTGTATCTCTAGTTGACCTACCTTTGCTTCGTAGTTCAAAACAGCAGTTTGGAAACGACGTATCCAAGTTCAGCAGACTCATGCTGACCCCAGACATTGCTCCGTTGCGCTGGGCTATCATATATCTGGCACTGATCTACATAATCCTATCCGCAGTGTGGATCGTATGGCGGAATTTTGCCGGGGTCGAATCAGGCACTTCACTCCCCGATAATGCAATCGTTTCTGGTCTATACGGCCCCGGTTTCTGGAGGGTGTTCGTATTGTCAACTTGGTTTGCGGTGTGGAAAACTATATCACAGGACGTCTCGCCCGGCTTCGACCCCGACCTAATGGTGTCTACAATAATCATAATTGCGTCCTCCGCCGACTTGATCCGCCTTTGCATCCGTATTGAGAAGCTGGAAACGTTTCCTCCACACTTGTGGCATTGGTTCATTGCCGCAGCATTATCAACTCATTACGGCTTTGGCGCCGCATTTATTGCAAGCATTACCGGTATCTACTTCCTCGCCGAGCATAATCCTGGTGAGGATGCTATAGACACCCTCAAAGCCTCGAGACGTGCTCTAGGCCTGTGGATCATCAATTTAATATCAGCCTTTTCTGCTATGACGTGGTATGAAGGCATGATTCATCGCATCCCTGTCCATTCACTACCACCTTACGTTGATGATTCTCATCCTGCTGTGTCTATGGAACGCCTTCAGACGTGGTCGGTTTGGGGTTGGCGACTTCACTCAAGGTTGCTCGCGGGCTAATTCATCGATAGTACTGATTTCAGGCTCTCCATGATTGTGGCGGTAGTGACAATGGCCCTCTGCAGAGTGTATTTCTATGTCATCATTGATTGGGATGAATTCAGACGGAGGAACTGGGTTAAAAACATTTCCAATATCACCCTTCTCTGTTTTTCGGCCGTTCTGGGTGTCATTTTCCTCCCTTTGTTCCCGACTGCCTTGTGCTTGCCGTTGGCCCTAGTCTCCGGCACCGGATGGTTCCCGGAATCTGGGATTTCTTGGTGGGAGCTGGACCAACTTGCCGCAATGATCGGCTTCATCTTGCCCAAATTATTCGAGCTTCTCCCCCCCGTCCTCGAGCGTTTCGGCATAAACTGGGAAGTGTGTTTGTTCAAGTGGCTCAGGCCGTGCGCGCCAAGTTGGCTCCGACAACGTATGCCACAAGAGTTCGATAGTAACGTTTCCGACTCGGGGCCGGTGACCGATGGTGGTGAATTAAACGAAATGAATCGTTCACAGCAGTTGGTGTCAAATGTGAGCCAGCATATGGAGGGGACGTCAATTGGTGTATCGCGCCAAAGGAATGCACCGGAAGTCACTCAGAATGTCGAAGCACACGACCCGACGTCTAACACTTCAATCCCAGAGAACGTTTCACCTGTCCAACCGGATGGTCCAACCACGTCGGACGATCATGGACCTTCCACAGTCCGGAAGCGTTCAATCCCAAACGCCGTCCAAGTCAGGCACGTACATTGCGATCCAATGTGTATTCTTAATCAAATACTCATTCTTGATCAAGTCGTCGACACTCCTTAGGATCATTGCCCACCCAATCACCTCACCTGTCTTCTGGTTCTCCACCCAGGCTCAACCAATCGGCATACTAATTTTCGTCGCGTGAGCCCACAAGTTTAAGGCAGCCTTTTTCCCAGATGAATATTTATTTCCTGCCGCCTCAGTGTCATATTCATGTTCGTGTAGTGGTTTGGTTTCTGTACTACTTGCGATTTTGACCTAGTCATGGTTGTGTCTGCACTGTCTGTTTGTCTGTGTTTTTTCCCTTGGCTGTAATCTTCCTTCTCGCTCTCGTATATGCGCTGACATGACACGAATGATAATACCATATCGTTGCGCAGAGAGTTAGATGTATTTTACTCTCGGTACGTTGTCCGTGGATTGGATGCTATGATGCTACGACCACACCTCCCCCCATGCATGTTTGCAATTTGGCCAATCGCCAAATGATACAACATATATAGGCACACGATCTTTCCGCAACGCTCTGACTGGCACCGCCGTGTACATTGCGAATCACCGGCTGATATGATTGATCTGCCGGGATTCTATGGAATCACGATATAGAGGGTTTTCTTTCAGCCGTTCCCATGATTGGAGTGAAACCATGCAACATCTGACAATGCACCTGTTCCAAGTCTATACGGCTCCGGTTCCTGGAGGCTCCAAGTGTTGTCAGCTAGGTGTGCGACATGGGAAACTTCCGCTGTCGAAGTGGCAGCCGAATCGAGAAACTTGGAACGCTTCCCCAATATTTTCGTCGCCGCAGCAATGTTAGCGTACCCATTTCGGTTTTGGGGCTGCATTGACTACATCCTCTGTCCAGCCTGGCATCGGATGACTATGATCCTATCCGGGGCACCCAGAGTCTAATACATGCAATCTTCCCCATGTAAAACTCGATATGCTCACGGTTCTTAATCTACGCTACCTAGCCCTTTCCTCGCTGTCGGACAGACTTAACCGAAACGAAAACTTACACGACTTGCGTTCTTGAGGGGGAACGCAAGATGTGGTCCTAACACATTGGGTGCTTGGCTACGTTAGTCTGTTTTCTGTTGTTCCGATATATGATACTGTATTTCAAGGTAGGCACCGCTTGTCTAGATCATATCATAGCTCGGTCATGTATACGTCTACTGTATCTGGATTCCTGTTATATTCTTCATTCCGCTCCGTGGATCCCAGCATCTTGCGGATTGTGGCACTGAAGTGATGCGATATATATGACCCTCGCGCATTGGTCGCGCTAATGTTTTTAAAGCTCCAAAGGCACTGTGGATGCCGATACATAAAGGTCTTCATGAGGCAAAAGCACGCTCTCGTTTCAACCAGCAGCCAGAAATATATTAAGTATTGACGAGCAAGAGACCGTGACAGCACGCCTGCTGCAAAAACATGGGAGGTATCGCTCATTGGTTCAGATCGAGGTTATATTCGTATGCAGCCGCCTTGATAAAATCTATAGCTACGGCACCATCTCAACGACTCGACAGGCGAGAGCAGGTACTAGAGGAAAGACTGGCGCATCAATTAACTGGGGATACCAGTAACGAACGATCGTTGACGACATGTTGTAAATAAAGCACAAAAATATTCCCTTTTCTTCACGTATGAACAATTGCCAAATAACAGCATACATATCAGTATGTACGCATGACTCTCACGGACGAACGACGGGTGGTTTTGCAAAATTGCAGATTTTAGTCGGTTCGATTCAAACAAGTACATAGTCAGACTAAGGATGACTCGTTGCCGACAAGTCCGGGTGAGAAGGTTGTCGTGTATTTATTTCACCTTGAAATGCTCCTGGCCTCGACAGAATCTCGCATCGGAATAGATCATTCAAAATTGGGTTGGACATTGAAGGATCGCACCGGGCGATTAATCATAAATTCAAGGTCGAGACAGGTTCTGCAAGCATGCTACAACAGTCACATTTGATACAAGGTTTCCGAGGACTGTGTTCCGATGAACCCACACTTCACAAACAGTAGAACCCAACATCCCTGAGCCACGTATCAAGGCCGGGAAAGCATGGATTGAGGTCTGCTCTTGGGACGAGGGCGAGAGAGGCGAAGAGAACCGGTTGGGCTACACAAGACGCCGAGTTAGTGACGAATATCAACTTGTCGTTGCAGCTGACCTCATGACAAGTCCCATGGCTTCACCTCTAACATCTCCAATATTCTCTTTCAATCTAGCAGTCGCAGACTTCTTTAAAGGGGAAGCTGCCTGAACGTGTTTGACTGGCTCAGTACCGCGTTGTTTGCTCCACCCAAGGGCACTCCGACGGGTTTTGGAGGCCACGCGTTGACGCGGCCTAGGCTTGCAGGTATCTGTTTCCGCTACTTTAGTTAGTTGACGAGTCTCGAGAGGGTCTATAGTCTGCAATGGCAAATTCGGGTGTAAGGGAGTAAGACCAACGGTAGAGAAGGAACGATCAATCGCAAATGGGGATGTTGGTGGGATGACAGCCAGAGCAGGAGGCGAAATGCATGTAAATGCTTGTTCCATGCTCTCAGTTCGGCTGTGGTGCTGCCTGGGAAGGCGAGGAGCAAACCCCTTCTTTGGAGTACGTGAGCCATATGGGCTTGGGCGAGAGTTTCGCCGCTGTCGTCTGTGGCACAACTCAGACGGCAAGTGCGTGTAAGTCCTCACAGAATAATCATAAAAGGCCCGAAGGGCGGCAGGTTCTTGAGGAGGTTTAAATGCTGAGGAGGAATATGAGCGCTTAATGGCACTGAACAGCAAGGGCACTCACAAGCCAATGCAAAGCGTGAGAAGTCGGTGTCAGCCCAGTCGTGCTTACTCTGCTGAACGATATCGAAAGCCTCTTTGCGTAAAGCATGATACCGGCGCATAATCTCAGTGCTGCTGTCATCGTTATCCCATTCCACGACATCAACTTCAGGCTCGCCTGTCTTGGCATTCACAATCTCAAACCGCATTGAGGGTACTGTCGACACCAGACTAGACACAGAACTCCCGGATGAGTACGGAGAAGCAAGGCCAGGAACTTCTTCCATGATAGTCTCGACTCTGGAACCACGAGAGACAGACCGTCGTCGATGGCCCTGTCCCCTTGCCCTGATCCGATTTCCTGAGGATGAGGAGGCCATACTGGAAGGGCGTGACCCATTCAGAGCTACACTTAGTCGAGTCAGGTCAATGCTCGATTGAGAACCTGAATCGCTACAGTCGGTGGTGGGGGGAGTGTCTGGAGCGGCGGTCGTCAATACAATGGTGGTCGGACGAGAATGAGACTCATTTGAGGTCAGGCTTTGAGCAAAGATGTTTCGCTGTAACTTGGCTGTGGCGGGACGAGAAAAGTTGCATGCAGAAACTATACATTCTTCGTTAACGTCAAGGCAACAGAGGAGGCTAGCCGCGTACCATCCATGGAAACCTCAGAACCCTCCGCGTTCGCAGTCAGAGCGCCAGCTTCAAGGCTTTGCCGCTCGAGGAGACCTTGGTTCGCTTTGACCATGCGCTCTGAACCAAACTTCAAGGGTGATTGGGACGCGACGCTTGGTTTACCCTTTATTAAATGCTCGTTAGATGGGCTACGATCAACTCTGACTCGGAATGCTGGACGCTTCTGCCTGGCTTTAAAGGCAGGGGAAGATGTGAAAGAGTCACCAAGGAGTTTGCGACTGACATGCCCTCCACCCAGCATAGAAATCATCGTATCATCATCCCGAGCAGATGATGTTGCACTTGCCACACTGAATACAGATAAAGGGCGGATGCGACGATTGGCGGCATGGGACCCAAAGAGGTTGCCTTTGGATTGCTGGCCCTCATCACCAAAGATGTAATCGGCGCTGACCGAAGGATCGATGGAGGGATCGAGCAACGAATCTAAATCGCTCCGGGAATCTGGCGCGCTTTCGAAAGAGGATTGTTGTGCGTAACTCGGCGCGTCCTCCGCTTCGCTTGCGCTCGGCGATGCGGTGATAGCAGTAAGCGGCATGCCCTGATAATCAGCTGCGCTCTCCAACATTTTATCACCGAGTCCGGGACGTTCAAACCGAGGCAATGACAAATCACTGGAGAAGCTGTCCACGGACCGATCACTCTGATGTTTTGCCCAGATTGCGCGACCGCCATTTGCTCCCAGCACATTGTATGCATGGGCAATGGAGCTCCCACTGTCATTGGACGACCGATTGCGCTGGTGTCGCCGGTAAGACGCATTGTGAAGACTCACAGGTGGTCCGAGTGAAGTGTTTGACACGGAGTCATCACAGACATGCCCATGAATAGTAGACGGGAGAGGCATTGGAAGGGGAGGAGGCCTGCTCTGAAAATAGAATTGCGATTTCTCAGAATCCGTCGATTTTCTGCCCTTCGCCTTTCGCTCCCTGGGATTGGAGTCATCAACGTTCAGAGAGAAGTCGGTAGCTTGAGAGATGCTTCGCGAATGACTGTTGTCAGTGGTCGCGTAGCCGAAGGGATTGCGTCTGCCAGGCTTGATGATTCGGCCGAGACTGGACATTGAAGGGATACTTGCTAGTGAGTCGCTGTGGGAATGACCTAACGACGGAGCAGGGGGCAATGGGATTTGAGGAGGACCAGCTATTTCATCTCGGTATCCGAACGGATCAGATACTCCTGAATCGATAATGGATCCAAGAGATGACATGCTCATTACGGATTCTCCACGACTATGGCCGCTATGGGATGGGGCACAGTCTGTGACTGAGAATCTAGCCTCCCGCTTGGACTCCGTATCAGATTCCAATGAGATACAGCGCTCCCTTTGCGAGGAAGACAATTCAACTATTGACCTCTCTTCCTGTCTATCCAGCTCCGAAGAAAAATTTGGAGATTCCGGGTGGCGATCGCTAGTCCCTAAAGGGTGGATTAAGGAGAGGTCAATGTTCGCAATCCTATATGCAGAACTGTCCGGATCGCCGGCAGAGGGAATCTCGGTGCTAACTTCCGAGGATGAGTGGGCGGGTGGCACTCGAACTGTAAGGTTATTTTGGGAGGACGAGGGGTGGACGAGGGAAAGGTTTAATGTCACCAAGGCGCACATTGAAGCATCCAAATCTTCGAGAAGCTCAATTTCGCGAGCACTTAAGTTACTCGTCTCAGTGTTCGTGCGAGAGTGAAGTCCCTAAAAATGCATTACAGATGAAATGTTTGACGCATAATTGAGTGAAAATACCTTCGTTGGGGGAACGGCGATGTTTAACGGCGCTGTTGGCTTGCCAAACTGGAAGCCTGGATTCAGCTCCCCAGTTCGATTCTGCATCGAAAATTATGCATCAAATACCATCCCAAACCAAAACGCATGTCTAAACAAGGACTCACGAGGTTGGCCTTAGGTTCCACGGGGAGCTCCCAGTCCAGTGAGACAGGGGAAGTTGCGCGCGACTCTGACGCAGAGCCAGAATCAGAAAGGAAAACTTGCGGTGTCTTGAAAGCCTCTTCCAACTGTTCTACGAAGCTAAGTCGCACACCACCTTGATTCAGACGGTTAAGTTCACCGGTGAAGTCGAAGCTCTTCTTGCCAGTGTCGTCCTCACGCATATGGTCGCCTTCTTCATCTGAATATGTTGGCTCATAACTGATCCCAGACGGCGCAGTAATCGTTAGGGAAAAATGAGGGCCTGGTAATGAACCAGGAGTGGAGTCCGAGTCCGATGTTGTAACTGGTAGAGACAAGTGATCGGACAAAGGCGACTCAGGGGGCCGAGGGATAGAAAGCGTATCATCCAATGATCGGGTAGAACAGCTGCTTGAGAGGATGACTTGCAACTCATCAGGTATGTCCGAATCTGGGTCGGCCGGTGCCTCATCCTCGGAAGACGAGAATGGCTCCTGTGTTTGCTCAGTGTCATCCGCTTCATCGGTGGGTCCCATGGTGCCGCTGAAACCGAGTTGGCGACGTATCTCTGGTCTTGTAATGGGTCGAAGTTGCTGGTGCAGCGACTCTGCTGATGATTGTTCCCGAGGTTGCTGAGGAACGAGTCTTCGTTTCCTACGGATTGTGACGTTCTTCAACGGACTGTCGAAGCTGACTTGACATGACGTATTGCTTGTGGACATGCCCCGCGGTCGGTCAATGCGAGAGGAACCTCTGACGGTGGCCTCATTCCGAGACGCCACACAGTCATATGGGCGTAGTGAAGTGATGCTCGGCTCTTGTTTAATTAACGATTCGCATGCACCCTTGCCCACGGATATAGGGCCCCGAAGCTCAGACAAACTTCCAGTAAATGGCCCTTTGAACAGATTTTTGGGAGTTTCCTGTGACTTGCCAGAACTAAAAGACGTGTCAACATCAAACGTGCGGTCTGGTTTGACTGAAGACGGAACGTCAGGGTAGCGAATCTGACGAGCACGTTCAATGGTATGAAGCGCGAAAGCAGGCATAGGGTCCGGCGTAAAGTTTTTCGAGTGAGGGGACCAACGTTTTGCGGGGCTTGCCTCAGGAGTTGTACTCAAGTCGAGACGGTTGATCAGATCGTATAGTTCCTCAGTGGCAGCTGTCAACATATTGAGGGGTAGAGCTGAGTTTTGATTAGTTCGGATAGCATGATCCCATGACAGCGATTCGGAGACTCACTCTGACCAGCCCCGTCTAGAATGTCACTAGCAACAATGCCGGTGGGCCGTGGTCGGGCTGCATCTGAAAGAGGCCTCGGACGAGGTCTTCTTTCCGGAGTGTGGCCTGGAACATAAAGATTCGCGTCCTTGATCATCTGTTGGGGTACCTCGGCCAAAGGAGGCAAGAAAGACTCGGAACCACGCGATGGAGAGAACGGATCAACGGCGCGAACTAGCTCAAAAGTTGCTCCATCAACGGCGATCGGCTCTCCATACGACTCAACAGAACCGGTCGAGCCAGATTTGCGAGTGGATGCCTTGGTGTTCATGGTAGAGGGAGAACTTGAACCGCTCGTCATATCGAATATGTTAGACAGCGCCCCACGTTTTCGACGTTCCCCATTCTTCGTATCTTTGTCACGGCTAGGACGCGCAGTCTTCCGAGTCACGGAGCCATGTTGTGAATTAGTAGCTCCCGATGATGTACGTGATGACATTGACGTCCTATGGGAGTCGATGGATGGGCCCCTTGTAGACGCCGATTCCCGGGGGAGCACGCTCTCCCCGCTGGACGCGGAGGAGGCAGAGACAGGACGCATCTTTTTCTCCTCTTTGCCAGGAGATGGAAATTTGATGGTAGGTAATGGACGATTTTCCTCATCTAGGGATGTCTGACGCACACCATTGGCACGAACGGTAGCAGAATGCCTCGAACTAATCGTGGCATTTCTTTGGGGCGACGGTGCGCCAGCCAGCCATGACTCTCCACTACCAACCGCCCGGGCAACGCCCCCTTTCCCTTTGTTCAACTTATTTGCCAGCTGGGCTGAAGTTGCAGGAGAATCGCGACCCCAACCACCTATTCTGGCCATGGAGCGAACTGAGCGCATCGCTCGCACAGCAAGAGATCCACCACGGTTTTGCTCGGGTTCTTTAAGAAGGAATTGTGCAGTCCCAGTGGGGGACAAAGCTGAGTCGGGGGAAAGATATGGGGTGGTCGGACTGAGTATGTACGCGGATGAGATCGAAGTCGGTTGAGACGACCCTTGCGAGACGCTCGATGGCTGTGTACCAGCGACAGTGGCTAATATGGAGGGGTTAACGAAAGGGTGGACTAACATGCGGGTGCCTAAATATCACTTACTGCCTCGACCTAGCTTCTCTTTGTCTTTAGCGTCCTTCTTTCCTAGGCCCATAGTCCACTTCTTTTTCTCGCGCTCCTTTTCGGAATCGATGCTGGCGCGGGGCTTTGTTTCCCTATCGTCCTTTTGGAGTTCCTTTGTGCCATTCGTGCGGTCACCTAAAGCCCACTTGATGGAGTCGAGAGCGACACGAGACTTTTTCTTCTTGACTAGCTTCGGCATTTCATCATTAGATGAGGTTGAGTCCATAAATATCCTTAGCTTAGACGAGCCAAAACGAGATGTTGCTCGGGAAGGCGGTCGCTGAGGCGCACCATTCTCGCACATGGGGATGACGAGTCGAGGAGGAGGAAGTGGAAGTGGAGGTGGAGCTTCATGCAAAACAAGCGTCCTCTTGGGACCTACACGTCCAGGACCCACCCCATCGCCTCCAGGCGTAAGAGGTGTATGAGTTGGTGCTACAGGCGTAGCGGTCGTGAGCCGAATCGATGGGACGATCCGAGGTGTCTCCACCGATTTTGGAGAAGTAGAACGTTTCGACTGGCGTAAACTGGAAAACATCGTTCAGAAATTTAACAAAATGTCGTAAAAATTGGCCTAAAATCGTAGAATAAAACAAGCAATGACGTGTGACCGTCGTCAGAAATTCGTTGCAGAAAGTCGTTAAGTTCAAAAGCGAGCAGAGACGTTAGTATCTTGAGGATCGTGGGATTGAATCGAGTAGACGTAAGATCGTGGAATCGTCTAGTGCGTTACTACGTGAGGATGGCTGTCAGTATCCCCGTCGGCGTGGGGAGAATATTGTCAGCAGCTGGAGCACCAAAGCGTCAAAGGCTTCGCTGAAAGTGCATGTGAGCCTTAGAAACGCGTGTAAAGCTGTTGGCCACACACAAATATGCCTCCGACGCCGATGAACGGAACGGTTTGGGACTTGGGGGTCACAGGAATGAAGGCCGTCCAAGGTTCCTTGTGTTCAATCCAAACATGTCACAATAGTGTCAAACTAAATGATCAGGTGACCTCAGTCTTACCAGAAATATTTCGAATTTATTGTCATATGTCATATTTCTCGCTTGCTAGTGATTATGCAGACATGACGATCATTCTAGCCTTTAGTGGAGAACTAATCAGCCTTCATACCTTTTCTCCCGTTGAGTCTTGGGATTTATATTCATCCATAAAATGTCCAGTTGCCCTCGATGTGTTGAATGTAAGCAGGCCGTAGTCTCTGTTGCATACAAAACTCAAGCGCACTTTCCAGAGCATCAGCGCCGGTCAACAGCGGAGTCCGCCCGGGATGATGGCTTGCTATTTCTCGGAAGGCGCCTAAAATACACAACCTTTCCTCCACTGTTGCCTGGCAATGCCTGCGGGGCATCCGCCAGCCCAGCTCGGATCTGCTAACACCCAGCGACTCTTGAGCGGATCATCCAGTGAAGAGCAAAATGTCCTCCAGATATCAATCCACATCTCCCTTGGTCCGTTCACGGAGTGCCTCCTCAAGTTCGTCCGCATCTAGCTTATCCCAACCAGTAACCCCATGGCAATTACTAGTGTAACTGGTATTGGTCCCATCGAATTTGATAATTGTATGAAGGCATGTGTACTTCTCACCCCTTGCCTTCTCCACAGTTGTCCTGTCACTTGAGCTCCGCCCTGGAACGGCGCATCCTCGATAATGATATAGAATGCTGGCTAATTATACAACGGGTCCAGGATAAACCCCACTTGAAGCGTCTTGAAAAGCATAGTCCTGAAACCCGTGTTCAACTTGAACCGGCGCAACGATGCCGATACATATCCACATGCACATGTACATACGTCCCTCTATCTGGATGTGCGACGGGTGTCAGGAGAGATGACGAATTAATATTTAAGAGTCTCAATCCCCGGGCAGCGAAGAGATGCCCCTTAAGGAAGGGAGGTTCAGCATATCCTTTCCGCGGCATTTTACAAGGGCTCTCGGCATTTACGTAGCGACGAATCGGTACTCGTCATGTTGTACTATGGATGCTCCTCTTGCCTGTCGTCCACTATCGATCCTAGTACGACTGGGCGCGAGATAGCCGATCTGTTGCGGCTGCGAATTCATCTAGTCGGAATGTTGTTTCTATCAACACATAGATCGATAACGAGGACGCCCTGATCGTGACTTAAGAAAGACACTAGAGACTTTGCATTGATCCGTAGATCTGGAATTGACGCAAGCGGTCATTTTGTGCGGTTAACGTTCCCACGACACTATCGAGCACAACTCACAACGACATTGAGCACCCTTCCTACGTCGCTTACCGCATCAGGATATGCCTTCATATCTGTTCCCTGAGATTTACGAGCACATCCTAGAACAGCTTCCTGTCCGAGATGGCGTACTTCTCGACGACAGTGCCCGCACTCTCCTTCAATGCTCCAGAACTAACTCAATGCTGCGAGCCATAGCCTGCCTCTCGCATATATGGAAGTCGCACTATCTAGCACGGTGGACCCGATCGAAAGATCATGCGGCGCTTGAGGCTCGGTTTGGTGGCGACTATCGGCTAATGTATTTTGAGCGACGTTGGAGGGATCGGCGAGCTGTCAAAGCCCTCAGCCGGGTGATACAACATCGGTGTGGCCGCCACGAGCTTGCTATGGAGCTCATAGAAGAGCTTAATTACGACGCGTGGGATGTCCTGTCTGCACAAATCGTTCCCAATTCGGGTGCGTCGTTTGCTGGGATTGACGCTCCGACGGAGGATTGGTTTGCCCGGAACTTCTGGGCGGGAGAGGTGAGTTTCTCACTGCTGCGTTTATAGTCCCTCTCCGTCTATGGATCACTCAGCTGGTCATAGATCCTGCGGACGATGGCGCGACGTGCTGCAGTGGAGCAGGCAATAGACCTCGAAAATGGCAGAGAGTTCCCACTAGAGCGAGGCCTCGGCATCTTTTCTGGGTTCTGGGGGGTGGAGCCATCTCATGTACGTATTATCCTCGCCTTTTGAAAATCCCAATAATTTACTGCTAAATGGGTAGATTGCTACCCAGCTCGATGGTCTCGCCCAGCAATGTCGGGAACATCTCTTAGGCATGAGGCTTATTCTGGACCCGGAGGACCCAATATATGATCGTGTCTCCGTGTGTTTGGAGGTATGCCACTGGATGAGGGGCGAGGGTTTTGTGGCCGCGACGGGTAAGTCGAACATTTCCATACCAGCTTCAGGAGTCCACCCACGAATCCCCAATCCAGACACATATCACGACATGCGGAATCACTTCATGCACAAAGTATTGACCACGCATCGCAAAACCCTCCCGCTCTCTCTGGTCGCAGTGTTTGTGGCGATAACCAATCGTCTTGGCATCCCTTCCAAAGCAGTTGGCATCCCTGGTCACGTCCACGCCTTTGTGCCCTTATCACCAGACGTACCATCTGTCCGTTATCATATTTCCTCCTACGATGCCCGCAATGAAGGGATTCACATTGACGTTTTCAACTCTGACTCTCAACCCTTCATCGATGTCATTCGACTTCTGCGAGTCGGTCAACAGGACAACCTCAAGCCTGCCTCGACACATGATATGGTGTTCCGGGCTGGGAGAAATATACTCACCTCCGCTCAACTACACCAGGCAGCCCTCGAAGCGTCTGATCTTGATCTATCGATATACGCTGTTTTCTGTATATTCCTTATCCCTTCTCATGTCGGGATCGCATCTGCAAAGGGCTTCATACAGCAAATTACGTCAATAGTAGGCCAACGTTACCCCTTGGACGTGCGGCCCATCTTGCAGTCGGTTCTTGCGCCTGTCCTCGCGCCACCGTTGAGACTGCTGCTGGAGAACGTGTGTACGAAGCTTGTGGAAGACGACGAAGAGTACCATGTGCCGACAGCGAGGAAGCCGGTACGATACTTCTCGGGGCTGGTATATGTCCACCGTATCTTTGAGTATGTTTCTGAGTATTTCCGCATGCTGTCGGTCCTCTGATACATTCGTATTCAGTTATATCGCGGTGATTCTTGAGGGAGATGACCACTGTCACGCCTCAACATCATGTTCGTATCTCCCGCCCATTTCGTTGTCTTAAAGACACGTTAACCCAAAAGCTCGTCCAGGGATCGTGCGATATGGTGTTGACTCATTGGAAAGAGGACGACATCAACCTTTCTATACCTCGGCCGCAGCGGATGGAAGCAGTAGATGTAAGTACCTACTCCTATCCTACCGTAGCTCTCGTTTCCACACGCTGAGCTTTCCCTTACGCGTAGACGTTGCCGAAGACAATATCATACCCATTGCTCATTTGCGAAATTCGTCCTACTCAGATCACTCCCAAACGTCGGGCGCTGAGATCATTCATTCCCTCATTCAGGGTTATCCCGGCTTAGGTCGCCATTTCATCCGACCTGAGGAGGGTCCCCATGGTCGTCTCGTTTTCTTACCGAACAAAGACGTACTGAGGAGGTTTCCTGAAGATGTTGCGAAAGCGCAACACTATCTCTGCACGGGCACGGTACCTATTCCGGGCGTGAGCAGTTGAAACAACATACAATGCTTTTGGTTTAAAGAACGTGATGAGCTCTGGGTACTGTTGTACACTGTACTACCATTTTAATTGCCATAATACGAGGGCGACCTCGCATGTATAGTATTCGCACACGGTGCCTTGTTATTTATTCTACATCATCGGCCATTCCTCGAGGCAACCCTGTGCAAATCTAAAGAATGATAACGTTCCTGCATCGACAACTCCAATTACTACGCTCTTATGACCTGCCCGAATTGCAGCAAACGGGTGGGGGGTGGGTAGCACAGGTTTTGGTGGAAATAGCTTTCCTTTAAGCCATGCAAGCGTTAGTAGGTTCTTTAATGTAAGACCAAGGGGTGCAGGCGGCGGGCGTGGAGGATTCTTGCGCCGTGGGAGAGGTGGAGGGACTTGTGGGAGCATCCCAAATACCGTCGTTAATTCATATATTGACGGGATAGGAGTTGTACGACCACTAAAGGTACGGTGATTCGTTCATAGTACGTCGTGGAAAATATGTTTCACGCTCACTCAATCACGATAAGTTCAAAATCGGGATACGGTGGTGCAGTTTTCTTCCAAGCCGAATTCGGTTTCCACATGTGATAGAATATCTTGTAGGGAGAGGAATTAATAGGTCGAGTAGTACTTAATGGGTTTAAATGGCCAGCTGGGATGATTCTTAAGTGTCGGAAGATTGTGGCTAAGAGTGCGCCGAAGTGTAATAAGTATAGGTGAATGCATGAGTGTGGAAATTTCTGACTCACGATAGTCGCATGAGCTCAACCAACCAAACGATGTTCGCCATAATGGTTTCAACCATCCGGTGTGATGTGGACAGACAAATATCTGGGTGAGGTGCGATCGAACTCGTTGCAGACAACTGAGAATAGTCTTCCAGATAGAGGGTGCTTGTAACGAAGATTTTTCTGATGGACCATATGGGGGCGGTTGGGGATATGAGGGGGACGATAGTGGAGAGACTGCTCTAGTAATAATAAAACCCAGACGTTTCAGGTATGCGTAGCACTTCGTTGTTTCAGAATGCCAGTTAAAAACGCATAGTCAAAATCCTGCGCACCTGATACCTCTCTAATGTTAAGTCTTCTGTACCGATAAACTCGGCGTACGCTTGCTGAGCAGAAATGGTAGCCCCCGAAGCCAATAGCGACGCAATATTAGAAGGATCCGACAACGCGTCCCCCTCGTCGTTTGAAGTCGCCTTATAGCATGTCAATGTACCACGTTCGAGAAGATACAAGGCTTCTTCGGGTAACAATTCAAGCCTTGTCACTGTCCTTGGCTTCTCTCCGGGATCATATTTAACCAAACGTCGAACAGAATGGCCCATGTTGTTGAAGTGGATACCGCGAGATTGGAAGACCTGGGCTCTGGACAGCCCAGGCAGCCACACAGCATATGACATATTCTTACTGAAAGAAAGCGAATCAATCAAACATTTTGGGCACGGGCTTTAGCAAACACCTTGAAGTTCCTCGTACCCCTTTAAGGGCGTCCACCATTGCTTCGCGCGATTGACTCAGAGTATAATCTTGCAGCCGAGAACCAGCGGGCTCAAAGTCCTTCTCTCCTCTTTTAGGTATGCGAACCTTTGGGCCACCTCTGCTGGCAATTTTCATAAACAGCAACGTCGGCACAGTCTCTGAACCTGAAATGGTATATCTTACGAACGGTAGTTTCGTCCAATCAAGCATCTCCTCCTCGCTTGATGAGTTACCATCATCCCCGCCCTCTGCTGTTGGCACTGTTCTTGCTGGCTTTTCGTACGGAGTATCCATTCGGCAGCGATGCTTCAAACTTTAAGTTTGCTGTGTGACAGGTTCGGACTCAATTGACTCCAGACTCCGTCACCGCGCTGTAGAGTCACAACGATCGAGCAGTTCCCAGCTGGAATGGGGCAATACTCATCCTTGGTATCTATCTTCTGGCGGATTATAGCACCAGCGTATGAACCATCAGGGCAGATTGAGTGGCGCAGTTATCATACAGCTCCACCTAGTAGACAGACTCCGACTCCCAGAACGTGCTTCCATGAGGAATCCCCTCGTCGCTGTTATTCCCTTCCCTGAACACTGCTATGGACTCTGCTGAAGCACAATATGGCCAGCACATTCGAGGGTGCCCACGTTTTGAACGTGTTAGCATATTGAGCCCACATGCGTCGCGTGTCATGTGCGTGCACCCTGAACCAAGATCTATCAAGCAATGCTGCTCCTGCAAGAGACGTGTGTAGTGACGACTTGAGAAGTGCTCGAGGAATCCGACCTCTTTACGTCCTGGTGACTGGGTTCGGTATTCGTATGTGTGAAGACCCGTCCAGGATCCAGTGCTTCTGCAGGGCATTGATAGTGGTGAACTTGGGAATTATGCTCTATTGATCATGCTTGGCACCCTGGTTGTGACGCGTCCCAGTACAGGATAGCCCGATTCGAGCCTAACCCTGCAACCACGCACGCTAACTTGACGACTCACTGCTGCCAGGGGCTCGCACTTCACTACCCCAAAACGAGACATACACGTTATCGATAAAGTCCATTACTCCACTCACATCCAATACCTCCTCCCACGCATCTGATTCATCAGTACTTTATACTCCAAGTTTAGAAGTCAGACTTTGATTTCTGTCATCAATCTCATAAACACTGTTATTATGGACACATACTATGGCCCTGACTGCTCGGGTGGCCCCGAACGATAGGAACCAAAGCTACGATGTTCGGCTCTTGGTTCGCCAATTCTACAGTAACTTATCGACAATTCCCGCGTCCATGCCGGAAAGTCTAAGAAGCCAAGCTACTCCGGTCACTTTCTACTCCCTACGCACTCGCCGGCAGGGGTTGGAATTACTGCTCGTACACCGTCAGGCGTGTGGTAATATGAATATTCTCACATAAACTTCGACCACATCGGTCGATGACTGTCTGTCGGGCGTGTATCCTACAATCATTATGACAAATGGATCTTCGGGTTTGAGTGCCCCAGTTCCCTAGTTCACACATATATACACCGTGGGTGCGTCGCTTTATATTGTACCACAGCTTGCTTGTCGATGAACGCTACGGTTATTGTTCAGCAACTGCATGCAGGTAGCACAGAGTTGCTCACGAAGCGGGCTTGGCCTGCCCATATTCTCACACCACAGCCACGAGTTATTTTTGTATTCAGCAATACAGCTGGGTACCCTCGAACGCGCGATCTTGGACGTTGTGGCGATTTCTCGCTTTCTTCCTGCCTCTAATGGTTCCGAACCAAAGGAGATTTCTTAGAGAATTAACGGGACATCTTCTGCACTAGGGATGTCATCCTACCATGGAGCGAAATTGGAGGGAGCGATCCGGGAGCTGCACTGCGTCTCCATGTTGCGCGTAACGGAAGTGCACTCCCACAAGCGCGAAAATCGTGCGTATAGTTCCAACGCCCATAATTCCGGCTGTCTTGCGAATGCTGCTGGGTAAACTGATGGCTCGGTAACCCAATGGCATCGTGAGTACTCGCATAATCGTTCGGACCTGGAAGTGCAGCGTTGTGCACAGGAGTTATATCCCTTTAAAGTGCATACTTACAAGGAACGTGCGTCGGCGGAATGAAATTCCCCACGACCAATGGGAGAAGCCGCGACAGTGCCTAGCTTGCCGAGGCGGCGATCTACGGATGTCACATTCATGCGTAGTGATCATTCATTAAAGGTATCAGTGAATCGATGTCCGACCTTCAAATAGAGGCTCCATTCTTCTGAAGGAATATCTCAAGCCCCCTCTGCCTCCTGAGAAGTGGCTTTATCCCCTCCCCTTTCTCCTCTGTCGCCGCCGTTCGTGTGCGCACTTCTCAGCTTGGGCGAACCGAGCGAGAGAACGCCAACAACATGGCCACAGCCATTCCCCGTCACCTCGCCCAAGAGAGAGACGAAAATATCGATCCAGGCTTAGCTAGCTCTCGTACTTCAAGTGATCGCACGGGCGCGATAGACCTTGCTGCTGAACAGCATCGCTTGAAGGATATCATCACCCCTCCCGATTCGTATACGGACGAGGGTGTTTATTGGGGTGATCTTCCGATGTTGCAACGCGTGCGTGTTGCTTCACTTCCTTGGGGTGTCCAGCTTTTTCTCCTTTCCTCACTTGTCTTCCAACTTTATTGCGCCGCGTTAGTTCAAATGGACTACCTCCCAATTCCTGTCAGAATCAAAACGCGAACTCTTCGTCGTCGGCAGGATGTTTATCAATGACCCACTGGAACCATGGCGTCAATATTCGAACAAGTTCATTATTACTGGAATGGGACTTTTCGTAGAAGGATTTACGCTCTTCTCCATTGGAAACTTGACTCCATTGTTTGCTGCGTGAGTCCTTGAAGTCCACAAGTATATTCTGTCGCTCGCTGAGGGTTCGTTGGAATACAATGCTAGAGTGTGGCCGAAGTGTTGGGGGTCAAAACCGACTCAATGTACGAAGACATGGGTTGAAGCTGTCAGTTACCTTGAAATAATCGGCATCATTATCGGCCAAATTCTGGTATGTGCCAACTTCCAGTGAACCCCCCGCCCGTTCTGACCAATTCTTTCTTGGTGGTTCTGGGTGTGATTCATATCACGATAGGTCGGGATCGAAGGAGATTGGATCGGGCGTAAATTTGGCCTCGTTCAGGATGCATTGATCATGTCACTCGGAACAATCATGCTTATTTCCGTTTGGGGAACATCACTGCAAGGATGGGTAATTGCCGTAAGCAAATTTCACATGCTAGTTCACTCTTCGGTGTTATTGTTGTTCCCGCTCGCTAACAAGCTATGATCTGTTCTCGCAAAAATGCAGTATGGGTGGTCGTTGTTTGTCTATGGTCAGCTGACCCCACTGATTGTTTCCATCAGGCCGCTAATGGGATGCTTTTTCTAATGCCTAGGTATCGGCGTAGGCGGTGAATATCCCATGACCTCCACCAGCACCATGGAAGGTTCTTCATCTGCCACTAGCGGTGACAGACTCCACCGTGGTCGGAATGTAGTTCTACCCTTCCTGATGCAAGGGTGGGGTCAACTCTTCAACCAAACAATTCTTATCCTCCTACTCCTAATGTTCCACTCACAAGCTGGCCCTCCATACACTGAAACGAGCGCTCAATATATATATAGAGTTAGCTTTGCAGCGATATTGCCCTTTACGCTGTATTTGGCCTATTGGAGGGCCTATAAGGTTGGATATGGTGCGGCTAATGGAGAATTGATGAGGAGCAGAAAGAGGACGGGGAGGACGGGAGGGTATGATATCATTTCACTCAAGTTGTGCATAACGCATTACTGGGGGAGGTTGTTTGCGACAGCTTTTGGATGGTTTGGTAGGTTTTCTTTTAATTATACACCGACTTTCATGTTGAATTTTCTTTTTCCACTAGCGAATGACTTTGCGTTCTACGTGAGTTCTCGCCCTTTCACAGCCAACCTCCTTTCCTCTCCACCCAAAACTCACGCTCTGAACCTTCTCAATAATGTATTTTCCAGGGCAATAAAATTTTTCAATCGAATTTTATTGCCGTCATCGTACCCCACACGCACAATATTAACATCGGTTGGTTATGGAATTTGATTAATGTGGGAGTGGCAATGTTTGGATATTACTTCGCTGCACTCCTGATCGACTATAAGGTGAGGAAAGGAATGATGCCTCGCGCGAGTGGGTACTGATTCTACTTTTCTTCGCCATGCGCCACCACGCTGGCATTTTGGCTGCAGCCATTTGGCCGTAACAAAATGCAAATACTTGGATTCCTTGGTGATTTTATTTGTTTCGTCATTCCTGCAGCGTAAGTCTATCTTTTCTCTAAGTTTGTCATTGGACACTGGTAACCGCCTTTCAACTTTAGGATGTATAATCAGCTCACGAAGCGTGGGTCCGGCATTCACTGGTTCCAATCCCTCTACTTCCTTAGCAGTTTCTTCCAGCAGTTCGGGCCAAGTAAGTCACTTTGTTTGTTACACCGCGCTTCCCGTGTTTAAAGTTCGAATAATTCAGACTGTACTACCTTCCTTGTCGCCGCCGAAGTCTACCCAGCCTCGATCCGATCTACGGCCCACGGGTTTTCGGCTGCGGCAGGTAAACTTGGCGCCCTGGCACCAACGATCCTTTACAATTACATCGGATCGCGCACTCGATTCTGGGTCGTGTCGTGGTTTGGCCTGGCAGGGGCAATTGTCACATGGCTCTTCCTTCCAGACGTAACCGGCCTAGACCTTCGAGAGCAAGAGAGATATTGGGAATACGTGCGAGCCGGGAGAGCGGACGAATATCATGGTGTCGCGATTCATCCCAGACACTTGTCCGTTTGGGAAAGGGTCGTGTTGAAAAGACATAGGAATTATGACCCGGAGAAGGATAGGGAGAGTAAGATCGCGGAATTGAGGAAGCTGTTTGAGTTGAGGGAGGGTGATAAAGCGAGGGAGGTTAGCGGAAATCATGATGATGATGATCTGCTGAGTGATGAGGTCGCGGAGTACTTCAGGAGGGAGAAGGGGATTGTGGGTGTGAAACGCGGTTGACCTACTTGTCGTGGGATGTCAGACTCAATCACTCCTGGGACGTGCCAAGAACGTGGGCACAATGTGAAATTACTGAGTTGTATCAATATGAATCGTTTTAATCACATGCTATTTACGGAAGTAGAGTTTAAACCCGATCACCGAAAGACACGCTTCGTTCCAACTGTACAATGTCCTAATCTAATGGCTGCTCCGACTCATCCTGTTCCAAAACTCTTGACCATAATCGCACACGCATCTGGACTGACAATTCATCAGATATCAGCAGGCAAGAGGAATTGAAAAAAATCAGCGACGGTAGAGTTATGGAGCACATCCCGTTAGGAATACTCCTTGAAGAAATTCGAACATAAATTCATATACATCATACTTGAGCAGACTTAAACGAGAACGGGAAGACACTTACCGGTAGAAATAATGGATAAGACCTTGGAAGTACAGCATGCAACTCACAAATGTGAAGAGCATGAAGGGAAAAAATTGTGACTCATCGTTGAAGCAAGAATAAGCCCCGTCTAGTTCAACGTCACGTCCAAGAGAGTAATGACGAGGATCGCATGTCTATACACGATGAGGATAACAAGCAGCTGACGTCACCTTTCCTCAGCCTCCTATATCTCCCCGTCTACATCAAACAAACGCTTCCAGCAATTGGCCCATGAACCCAACCTCAATGAAATCCACAACTTCGCTCATATCTTCGCCAAGCCACGCAAGTCACCAGAGGAGAGTCACTTAAATGGCACAAAAGCTGAATCCCGCTAGGGAGGGAATGCCGAGAGACAGAGCCACACAAAGCGGACGACAGGGAGAGAGGATAAGCAACGCCGAGCAGTAAGAAGCTGGGTCGGGAAGTGATAGAAACGAGCGACGATTGTGCCCAATAGGCATACGAAGCCGAATGCTAGAGCCCCGCCCGAGTCGACACAAGTGCCCACACACCTTGTCCTCATTTCTAACCAGCACAAAGGCCCGTTCATAATCAGGACGTACTTCCGCTGTGCCTAAAGGCGGACGCTTGCCAGACGTCAAGAACGAGCGGGTTTAATGAAAGAGGACCGTTGGAGGTGAAGTGCGTGAAAAAAAAAAAACACGTGTACCGACTGGTGTCCCAACTCCAGAAGAGATATCTCCGTGGACTTTCCCCACAGTCTAAAATGATGGAACAATGGTCGCATCCGTAGGTGACGCTGCGAAAGCGATCCTTTGCTTCAACGATGTTGTGTGAAGAGAGCGAAATTTTTCATTTCAACGACGCATTAAATAGGCCGTTGCCGGTGGCAGTGTCTCCCAATTCAAACCTCAAGGAGAACGGAAAGAAATAAGCCGACCATTATGACGGGGTGTTTCACTCGGTCATTAAAGGTGCACGGGGCTCTGATAACGTCCTCATGAAAGCTCTCCACCTTGATTCAAAGCTAGTAATGTTGTTAGTGGTGACGATCACTGAGTCTCAGCACGATATCGATATTAGTTAGATCATATCGTGCTCTCCGCAAACATCCACCACTTACATACACCTTCGTTGGTGGCGCCGCTGTACGAGAAAAGCAAAAATGAGGAGGGAGCAGTACACCGTGGAGTTGCATGTGCTGTAAAGCTGTGCCGGTTGTATGGTGCCGCCGCGCGGCGCCACGTCCGCAACAGGGTGCCTAATGGTCCTTCGGTCCTTAACCACCTGTGACATCAGCCCAGGGCCTCAGCGTTCTAATCTCTCTCTCCAAGTTCGAAGGCGACAGTGGTGGAGTACTATAATTTCTGAGCCAGGACAATAATAATTTATACCGATATATGTGGGCGTGAGGACAGGTGACGAAGAATGAGAGTACATTTTCAAAGCACAAAATGTCGAAATGTGGAATGAGGACATCAGCCTCCCGCTGATCGATGGACGGGAGCTGGTTCGGAACGGTCATTCGCACGACGAGCATTTTCATAAGCGAATGCCCCATTCTAGTAGCCTGTATGTGCCTTGGTAGACTCAAAGTGTAGGCGCCTTGTAACACAACGCGTCCCAGTATGAAGTGGCTTAATTAAGCTTCGGAGACGGAGTCGTTGGGTATTATTCGGAGGTATTTAGATGTTATAATTTCTTTGGTCGCGAAATTCCCCTGACTATCAGCTTGATATATGGGATCTTCAGTTAGGACAGCCTTAGAGATGTCGATGTCGATCTCCTGCCTCTCTGACAGCTGAGCGATCGAGATGCCGGAAGACTGTATCCCTAACCCCCCGAGGCGTGAGGCCAGCCGTTAGCAATGTTCGCCCAACGGTCTCTGTAACTGGGGGGTTGGGTTGGGTCTTACACGGGAAATTCAGGGATGTGTAGCCACCGAATTCCGCAGTCATGCATTCATGAACCGGATGATACGTTACCCCAGCTTCAGGAACTGAAGGCCCTAGGATCTAAACTCTGTTCACTCCAAAGCCCCTATCCCCAGGCTGCAGTCGCTTGAGAGGACATGAATGTACTGAAGGACGAATGTCTGTCTCACTGTGCACAGGAGCCATCTCTATCATCCCGTCAGGCCTGAGATAAGCGGAGGTGTGCAAGAATAAGTTTTTCATGGGCACTGGGAGGCGCCACCGACTCCAAAACTTATTTTTGCCACTACTTTTGAAGAGAATGTATAATATAAAAGAATCTAGTATAGGAGGCAATGTTTTGCGAAATTCTTGGATTTAATCGACTAGGCCGGGCATGAGTGGCCATTTGAATGGTCGCTCATAATCCCTGACATGCTCCGTACACCAGGTGGCATTAGTAACAGGTGCTAAGGTGTTAGAACAGGGTGGGGGACGTCTCTTCCCCTCAAAGAGAGGCTGGTCACCTGCCTAGTACTGTGGGGACGTGATCGAGAATGCATCGTGTACCGACACTAGCAGGGCCGTCGTCAACTTCTTTCGACGTGATTTTGATCGATAGCGAACATGCAGGGCTGTATTGCATGGATACTGTGCATTGTGCGGGGCGGCGATGTGGCGGCCAGTGGCATTAACCTAGCCACAGTGATGGTCCCTGGGACAGCCCGTTCTGCCACCGGATTAGTGCCACGCCACCATGTACGCCGGCTTCATCCCGTATCTTTCAAACTTTCACACGGGGTTTTGATGTGCAGGTACCCAGCCTGTCATTATTTCAAAAAACAAGATTGATAGTAAACAACTTACATACATCCACAGCTAGATCGCTCTCACCGACAAAAGTAGAGCAAGCAAAAAATTAATCTACCAGAGATTTCACGACTAAACCGATCAATCCCCCCCCCCCCTCTCACATCCCGAATGCTTCCTCAACAAGTTCCACCCCACCCACCGCCTTCCTCACCGCAAGCCCGACCTTTCTCTCCGCCTTCCTTGCACTCTCCGCCAACCCCTTCGGCCCACAAACAACCATAACAACTCCGTGGACTCCTTCAAAAGTTCGGGTTTTCAACGCAGAAGCGCACGATATACTTGCATACAACATGTCTTGTAAGTCTGGTCTCCCACCCACGACTTTGATCCGTTCCGGAACGTCAAACGATGGTTGGAAAGAAGAAGCGCGAGTATAGTGGATATGAATGTGTAACGAGAACGATGCGATCGCGCCCGTCTGTTCGATCAGTTTCTTGAACGTAGGAAGAAGCGGGACGATAGTTGACGGGTCTCCAACAGACCAAACGAGATCGACCAGTCTCGCCCTTGAGGACCTATCAAAAGCATCCTGCGCCATTTCCTGAACGGCTGCAAGCCCAAACGAGATTCCACTTCCGCCACAGACGAAGAGCGCAGCAGAGTAGGACGAAAATACGGTATGACCAACTCCACCGAATGGTCCCTGGACTACCACATTCGCCACTCGCCCGCAACCCAACCCTCCTTCGGAAAACTTGGCACTCATCCCGTTCCTCGCCAATGCCCCAAGGCTCTTTGTCCAGTCGCCCGCCTCCTTAATTAAAAGGACTAACCCTTCGTCGTCGTCGCTCGGACTGGCAATCGTAAACGGATGTGTCTCTATCATGCGAGCCAAACCCATGGAAAAAGATGGAATCATCAACCGAATGTGTTGGCCTGCTCGCCAGCCCATCCTTAAGTTGGGGATCGCGACTCGGACGGAATGAAGTTCAGGGATATAGTGGAGAGTGGCGCCAATATAATGAGACTTGGTAAGACGGAGAATCACATCGAAGATATAAATTCCAATACAAGCGAGTGAATAAGGCAGAGACACTGGTACGTGATATGGGACCTACAAGCCAAGGAAAAAAAACTGATCGGTAAACGATATATCTGGACGACGAAAAATTTTTTCAAACTTACCGCCACGACAACAATAACGAGGCCGATCAAGTGCATATTCAAAAAGAGTGAATAAAAGCGCTTCCTGAAGCTAGGAATCGCGCCCAAAGAGAGAAAACAGATACCACCAAGAGCGATGAGGCCAGTGTATCCCACAGTGCTGATCACCATTTGGGTGACTTCACCGTCTTTGGTCCACATAACAACTAAAGAATGCGGGAATCAGGGTAATGTTCTGAACATTTGGTAGGAAAAGAAATTGTGATACCCACGGTATGCAACGGAGTGGAAGAGAACGGCAATGAATACGAGAACACCGACCCAGCGGTGTAAGAAATTCAGCTGTGCAGGTAACACGTCAGCATTCGCAGTCAGCGTGTTCTCGACAGGAGAGACTCACTCGCTCGTAACCCCGACCAACAAACATACCCACGATCGAGGCCTTGCTACCCAGAGCAAGAGCGACGGGAAATTGAGAAAGTCTAAATGAACAAACGACCAGCAGTCAGTAAACGGGTCAAAAAAGAGCCAAAAGGTACTCACGCGATCCAGCCGGCACGGTTGGGTATAGTAACAGGGTCAGAATGCATAAGCATTGCAATTCCGATTAAGGTCGCATATCCCACCAACACGATCCCCTGAGTAATGCTGTATCCACCGAAAAGTGGTACGATAGCACTTGTGTAATGACTCAAAGGATATAAAATTGTTTTCCAAGAAGGGAAATGACATGGTACTACCCGGGGTTTTGGATACGCTACGTGATGCATTTCGAGTCGACCAAGGTCGGTCACTGAGGGAGATTTCTCGGATGTACCGTATTGGGTGTACGGAGAGAAAGGGCGACGAGAACTTGGCGCTCGTTCAAGAGGGTCTCGGATTGTGGGGGCTGAGAATCGGAGGACAAAACCTTGACGGGACGGCCATGGTTCGGACATGAACCTTGCTACGGCGCGTGGAAAAGAGAAGAGTGAAAGGAGAGCGAGAAATGAAGCGAGGACGATATAAGTTAGTAAACCATATCGTTCGCTTGTCCAACCGTGGATGGGGTGGGTGGGGTGGGTGGTGTGTTTGGCAGAAGCAGCCAAGACAGCAGACATTTGTACAGGAACGCTAAAGCTCAAGATAATGACAGTTTTATTTGCAGTAGTGGCAGGAATGAGTCTGCTTGATCAGTGCAGTTACTCTTCGTTCCAGCTTAAACGAGAGAAGTTGCCAATACCCTTAAGCCAATCGACTGCAAAGTGTTCAGGACCTTCAAGGTCAGAGGGCCTTCCGAAGGCTACGAGATTGACGAGAACGAATGTACTAAAGAGGGGGATAGAGGAGGGAAAAAGATATTAGGCAAAGGGTTGAAGAAATGATATCTCCGACCCCGCGCAGCATCCATCGAGACAACACGCCCTTATCTTACCGGATGCAAATCCAACCACACGATCACCTGCCCATAGAATATATTCAATTGAATCTCACATCTTATTGTAGCCAAGGTTGTAGCCAGGTGGTAGCTTGGTTGTAGCTTGGTTGTTCTCCCTCCTTCATTTTTTCGGCCCTGTGGCGGACTGTTCCCAGCGTGACCGCTAAACCAACGAAGAACCATCTTCCCTGTTGACACCACCTTCCGCAGCACAGATGTTGTGAATCAGACAGCTCCGACTAATTCCTCGCAATTCCATCGAGGGTGATGATATGCCACATAAGCAGTTGCGCGCAACTGTTGCCGGTCTGCATGCAATGGTAACCGCTAAGGCGAGTCAACGATGAACATTGATTTGACTAACCCACGTATATCAATTGAGGATATTAATACTTATTGACAATCACAACCAACTGAACGCTCCCGGCTGGTCTTTGTTCAAGCTACCATTTTCCGGCCTGGCCCCTGCCCGGGCGTAACGATTGTATTTACCCCCGAACAACGTTGTGTGGTTCTTCTCTAGGTCAACAGGACAGACGCGGGAAATATGAAAAGTACGATCAAACTGAATATCAGTGGACCTGATCATTACGGTGTTGATCAGCAAGGCCGAACCGATAATCATGACAATGTTAACCCAAGAGGAATCGCCATGTCGAATTGGTCAAAGAGCTCAACATGAAGCTCGGCCAGTTATACTGCAGTGGGCGTTCAGTGAGTCGTCTTGCAATATGCAATAAGGGGCAAGCAGAGACATGAATGAATCAAAGTCCCGAAAAATTACTGTCGTTGAGCCCCTAATATTGAACCTGTGATGGCACGGACGATCGGAGATACAATGGTCACAAACTTATTGTGGGTCCCATGAACCAGATTTCACCGCGCGTGCAGTACTACTGGCACAACTATATTTCTCTTGGACCCAACGCCGATCGAGTTTGACGAACACATCAATGATATCCAAATTTATGAAAGAATGGAAGACGAATCATGCACTATGGTATGATTGTGCCTCGCGGACCTTCAGTTTATTAATTACCTGTGCAGAAGCAGGGGTATGTTCAATGATGCATATACCATAGTGCAGTCATGCTAACGCCCATGGCAGTTCGTACACGAAGTGACAGACGCTTAGGCTAACACCCTTTCAGTACGAATGCAAAGCTACGAACCCCGTAGGGATGCCTGCTGTCGCTTCATTATCTATACGGTGAGAGAATTCCAAATGGGCCCAGGCCAGGATGGCAGACAGGAAACGCTGGGACAAGTCACTATAGTTCCAACCATACGCACAACACCCTCAGTGCCTGTGATTCGTTGTATCCATGACGGATGATAAGTACGTTGGGTTTTATGACTTCTGAAACTAATGAATGTTTGATGAGGACTGAAGGGTGCCGTAGAGTGACACGAAGTATTCGACTGTCCAAAAACCTCATTAGGACGCTGTGCAACTCGGCGCTTCTAAACACGTCAGCTTGCAAAACCATTGCACTATCTGATCGCATTCCACATCATCAATTATAGGATGGTCCTACAGCGACGCTTCAGAGTGCCTCTGCACAGCGAAGGCACTTCGCATGCCGTTGCAGAGAATCCGATCAAGTGGGGGGACTGGAGGCCAATGGAACCAATCCCCGAAACTCTGATATAGCATCATCAGAGGAGAACAAGCCTATCCAATGGTCGATACTTAGGAGCCCGCAAATATGGAATAGGTGTTGATAACTTATAACGAGATCCGTCGCCAGAACGAGGGCAAAGCGTCGTGAGGCGTACAACGTATATATAAAGCAGTCAATCGATCAATCTTGTATTCACTCCGTGAGTTTCCGGAAGTCATGTCTGCAACAAGCCGAAAAACACTAGCTCGAAGCAGTGTGACTCAGCTATCCAGAACGACGTAGTGCACAAGGTCAGAGAGGCAAAACAGGCCTTGGTACTGCCCGGGCTGGGTTTCCTCCACTGGAGCTGAGCATTGCCAGTGTGAGAGAGGCACAGTCGAGGCTGTCTATAGGAGTAGTTCCGCACAACTTCCGCGCCCATACGCACAGCTCATTATACGAAGTGCAGAGATGGTAGACTAGACCCTTGCAAGAATCATGTTGTAGAACATTGCGACAAGGAGACGCAAGCCACATTTCTCACAGTCCCTGGGACTGCTTCCCTTCGCCCCAAGCTGTGCCAGGCATACCCCTAACATATTCCTATGTCGATGATATGGGCAAAGTCTGGGGCAAAGTCCATTCGCAAAGAGACATATTTCTCGTTCGGTTCGTCATCGAGGGCTAAATCCGACCCGGGTTGCAATAACCCATCTCCTTTGGTCCTTGCTATGTTTGCTAAAACGCAAACATATCTCGGCCCAAACGATATGAATGAAGTCTATCGGAGGAGAGGCATATCCCACATTCAAATCCATCAACATTCACTAAGAAAGCAATGATTTGTTTGTTAATCGGACTCACTTTTGGGAAGGGAAATGTGCCAATATATTCAGAGACATGGTGGTGGATCTACCCCGCCGCCTCGTTATCACGCGGGAGAGCGGCTAACCCGTTTGGGTACACTGAAGAGTACATGAGGGGACCGTCACAAGGTGGGTTACTGGTGTGTAGCGTCGTATAGCTGGTCCTCGGGATCGGTGTCGTCGGGGTCCTGTGTCTGTTTTGGTGTCTGTATCTAACTATGATGAGGAAATTATAATCCTTCTCTACTCCATGCCCCCGTTCCATCCTGTCGCTCTCCTGCTGAATTCCGTTCGGGATCGGGTCCGTCTCGGGTGTTCATACGTTTGTCCGCCGCGCGGGACGCCTTCAGAAATTTCGCCAGTTCGGTGATACCCTTGGGTTGGCCCATGAGTTTTCGTACGGCCATTGTCTCAAGCTTCCCACGTTGCCCAGGAGGTGACTGTGTTTCCTGAGTAGTGGGCATGCTGTTAAGATGTGGCGTCTGGTCTGTGTCTCTGCGCCGCATTGGCATTCCTTGTTCTCAGCATGTGTCGGAGACCCGATGGTGCGCAACTGGGCAGGATTGAACATCGCAATCAAGGGAAATTAAGAATCATAGAGCTTTTTTATATATGCACCTAGATCTGGGACGTCAGGAATGATGCGTCTAGCTGATCCCGGCCCTCGGTAAAAATGGACATCCTGTCCTTGTGGGATGGGTAGGCAGGCGGTCTATCTTTGTGGAGGGAACCTCCCAGCGATTGCTTACCACATTGGTGAGATAGTAAGGCAAAGAAGATAGAGTGGTCCGAGGCCGGTGTATCGACCAAACCATGAAGCGAGATTCGGCATGAACCCCCATTATCACCCAGAATGCACGTCCCGCTAGCGATATGGGAGGTACTGATTGCACTTTTCCATGGGATACCAGCCTCCTGGAGTCACAGCCCTTGGCAGGTCCCTTGTGCATGAACAATCGCAACACCGCTCCGACGTCCCCAAGTAATCCCCAAGAACTCCTCCTAGCGTAGCGATGCTGCCTGCTGCTTGAAAACCACTCGAGTGATGGTAAGATTGCTTGTTTATCTATCGTATTTGTCCTTCGATTGGTCGCATTCCCGGATACCCCACGATGACAATTGAGTGAGCTGGGGTTGCTTTTCTGGAGCTCCTTCCGTTAGCCGTCATTGATCCGTAAGAGGCGGAGAGAGTGGAGTCGTTGACCTGGATCTTTCCGGCGGTTATTTCCACCTCAAGCCCCGTCACGGTTCTTTGGGACCATTCTTTCGTATCTCAAAGCCTTTCTTTTCCCCGCACATCTAGTGACTAGTGACTTTCCCGTAAAAACATTGCCATCTAGGTAGTTTTTTCAGGTGGTTGATAGACATCAAGTCTTTTGCTATTGCCTCATTTTCCTCATAAAGTATAAAGGGTATATGTTGTCAATGAGACAGGCGGGGGAGAGAAAGCTAGCGGCAATGGTTATACAATCAAGATGATGTATCCACGGCGGCCAAAAGAAGAGGGAGTATCGGTGGAAAAAATGTGTGCCATGGTTTAATGTGTGCGGTGGTAGAAAGAAGTTAGGTGCAATGCTCATTAGGGAAGAAGACACCCCCGGTTGATGGAGGGGTCCTTAAAGTTCCGCTGGTTAAACGGATTAATATTATGCAATGTGCACCGCTGATAGGATCACAGGAAGCTCCGGGCACGGAACCAGGGCAAGCATAGCCTGACGAGTACACTACGAGTGCTCCCCGCGCCCCTGACCTAGTATGTGCCCATTGGCACGGACAGAGGTATAAATTGAGGATGGCTTACTTACCTACCTGCACAGAATCCGATCCTTCGTTATCGAATCAGCAATACCCTGTATATCGTTAGAAGACAAGAAGCTCCCCATGGAAGTACCCAACGACCCAGCTGACAACGGATACTTTCAGCCTAATCCTTACACGGACATCACAGAGAGGATCCTTGAGAATCTGAAGGCGGAATTTGATTCCACAGAGGGATGGCAGCTGATTGGTGAGCGTCTGCGCCATCTTATAATATCAGCATTGTGAACGTGTATTACTCGACGCTGCGACACGTGCACACCAATGGCTCATTCCCGATATAGGAACTAAGAATGGAGCTGTCATGGAGAAGAAAACAGCAATTGATGGGTCGGCCATTCCAGTGGTCCGTGGAAAGGGCACAATTGAAGGCGTGAAGCCATATCAATTCTATTCGATTGTCACTCATACTGGTGCTCGCCAACACTGGGACCCTCGATTCGAGGCTGGATACGCCCTGAAGCGTTACTCCCGACGTGCCTACAAATTCTACACCATTCAGAAGTAAGGGAGATAACACCCAATGGCTCTCTTCAGAGCGCCAGACTCGGTTTCTTCACTGACTATCCTGAAACAGGGGTTCCTTCCTCGTCCAACCCCGAGACTTTGTTGGCGTCAGTGACACAATTTTTGAGGAGGATGGAAGTATCTACGTTGCGCAGGGCTCCGTTCCTGACGATGGAGAAACTGGGCCTGTGGAGGGACGCACGCGTGGGACACTCCACTTGGCTGGATGGTCAATCAAACCAAAAGGAGATGGCTCTGAAATCACGTACATCGTTCACGGTAAGAAAGTGATGAGAAGGAAAGCGCGGTAGAGCGGCATCCATTCTCACACCTTGGTTCCGTGTTTCAGTGAATCCCAATGGAAGCATCCCAACTGCCATAGTAGCATCTGTGGTTCAGGACACTCCTCTGAGCGTCCCTAACGCCATCGACTGGTGTCAGAAGGAGGGAATAATTCCACACATCGAACAATTGGACATTAAGTCCACTGTACGTATCGAGTCTTACAGTCACGAGGATGCGAAAAAGTATCGTCTTGCTCTTCTTGGCAAGGCTGGAGATGAATTCGACATCCTCGTCGACGAGGAAAAGAAGTATCCGGACGGCTACAACGTCGAGAAGATTGGAGAGGGGATCGATTATGTCCAATTGACGACCTCCAAGGGCAAGGTACATGCAAAGATAGGAGAAGGTGCTGACGGGAGGAAATTCGAGATCATTATTACTACTAAGTGAATCGCCGGCCCACCATGTTGACCCGTTGTTTGCATTATAGAAGCTCAACTATCCACGAATCTTTCCATCTTCCTGTATTTCTGACTTTCGCATAAACTGATAACGTGTTCGTGGAACGATTCAAAATTCTCCCTCTCGTGGTACATTGTTTGAGCGTGCGGAAGGGTTCGGGGCCAAATGCCAACTTTAATTAAGTTCATCTTGTTTTGGCAGGTTCGCGTGAGAACGTTTGTTCACGTGTACTTGGGAACCGCATTTGAGCTCCAGCGCGATGTCTATACCTCTCGTTCCAATCACACCACGGCGGGCCGTAGATGACTTCACAACCCCGGAATCGCGCGAGGCATCTGATGAAGAGCCATACGGAGGCGAGGAAGAGGGAAGGTACTTTTCGGATGCAGAGAGGCGTTTGGCATTCAATCCCAATCATGCAAGCGCATTGCGCAGTCGACTGTTTGCCAACACAGGGCAAAATCTTGATAATCCTGATGAGCTGCATTCTCCGTTAGTCCTTTTGTGGCTATTGCACCAGAGCGCTTAACCAAGGCACAGACTCAAACACACTATATACGACCTCATGGAGGATCCCACATCTTCAACGGCAGCGTTCGTCGTGCATGTCTTCACTACATCCCTTATCGTCCTTTCTGCTGTTATTACCGTACTTGAGACACTCCCCCCTTTTCACTCGACGCCAAGTCTGGTTTGGTTTGGTTTGGAAACAGCACTCGTTGTTTGCTTCACCGTAGAATATCTCTGTCGTGCCTTTGCGCACTCGGAAACACAATCAAGCCTATGGAAGTGGATGACTTCGTTTTTCTCTGTTATTGATCTGCTTGCTATACTGCCTTATTACATCGAGATTGCCCTCCAAGCTGATACGGTATGTTCGCCTGGTTATCAATGATGTTCGTTTGACCTTATGGTTTTCCCATGGTCTCCACCTGCATTGACGACAGAATGAGTTCTTCCGCTTCTCCATTCTGCGTACGTCGCGACTACTCCGCGTCTTTAGGCCATTCAGATACAGCAACACCATCCTGTTGTAAGTCTTCTGCTGACGATAGCATTCCCAGAACCGCCTACTATAACGATCTAATTTAGGACGATAGAAGTTATGTATTTGAGCATGAAAAGGAGCAAGGACGCTCTTCTAGCGCTTGGCTTCTTCGTTCTGATGGTTTTGATCGTGTTTAGCACCCTTCTGTGAGTACAAATTCTGTCCCATTGCCGTGATCACTCTGGAAGCATACCTATCACAGATACTTTGCTGAGAGAGGCTCGTGGGATGCGTCCCTCGACACTTTCGTGGATTCAGACGGCAACCCAACTCAATTTGAGAGCATACCAGGAGCAGCATGGTTCGTCCTTGTCAGTAAGTATTTCTGCGACTTTTCCGTTACTAGATTTTGCCTCAGAATGGAGAATTGTGTGCTCACTTTGTGCCCAGCGATAACAACCGTGGGATTCGGCGAGATCATCCCGAGAACAATCCTCGGCCGCTTCTTTACCATTCCATTGCTCCTCTTTGGGCTGCTGCTGATTGCGTTGCCGTCTTTCGTCCTGGGTCGGCAATTTTCTGCAGTATGGGAAGCAATGGCGGCCCGGGGGGCAGGGTGAGTCGTTTTTTACCCTCTAAAGGAAGGGCCTGACTCAGGTTCGTTGGCAGCTGCAACAAAGTAAAAGGGAGCGGGCTAATTCCCTAACAGCATTTCTTGATGCCCACGACCCCCAACATCAGAGTACTAACCAATCGAGGCGTCACTCTCCAGTTCACTCTCCAGAATCACGCCGAGGGTCTCGTGAAGACTTGCTCAACGATCCTGCGGAACCCTCCTCTTCTCGCCAACGTATGCAGTCACCAAGACAGGCTTCTCGTCGTGTAAATAAGTCTCCGCGGCATGCATACCCCCCTTCCCCTGTAGCTACCCCACTCCCGTCGCCAAATCGGCCTTTATCTACAGTGGATCGCCGTCCGCACCTCACGAATCGTAAGCTCGCACGGAACCAGCAGGCCCTAAGCAGGCAAATCGAGGAAATCAGCATCATGTTAAGAGGAATGAAGGAGCAGCTTGCAGTGCTACAGATGCAGAAGCAGAGCAAAGGTCAGAGAATCGTCCGTCCGGAACCTGTTCCAGAGGATCATCTGAATACCCATGTGTACTTTGATGATACTGATCACAATGCTATGCGGGCGACAGATCTCGATGGCGCTGCTGCAGCCGCCTTTGTAGATCGGGGGTTCGAGGATGCGCTGTGATACACTTCCCAATACAATCAGTAATATTCTTCCGGATAGTTGGGTATATGCTATGGTACCCGACCGCCATTCTTCCGTCGCTCCTTTGGGTAATGATCCGGTATACATAACAGCTTAGCGGCAATGCGAAACTCAGTATGGACGGTGTGGACTACCGGCTTATACTCCGGCCAAAGCGAGTTCCCTTTTTGCTCTGACTTGAGCACGGCATCACTGCAAAATCCGTGATTCACAAACGGGTCGGTAGAATTGAACAGGGCTGGGCGCCTGCGGTTACATCGTATGTAGACATTCGGGCAAGTAGGCCATTCAAGCACAGGCCCTCTGCATTATTGACTCAGGGACGTTACTTGGTATCTCTACCTGGCGGTCGCACGGGCACAGGGAAGAAACATGTTCCTGCTGATGTCTCACGCATGAGATTCTGGTGGTGGGGCAATAATTCTGCGGTTTGCCAAATTCGCTCTTGCTGAGTCAGAAGTGCCCCGGTCAACCCAGATCATGAAACATAATGCGGTTGGGCCAACGATTACATGCGAAATCATCCTTCAGCATGGCTGGAGTGTCGTCATTCATGATTTTCCCCAGAAGTGGATAATGACTTTGCAGTGTAGTATAAAAATGGAGGATCATGAGAGCTGGCCGACGTGGGCAGTCACCCTCACAAAATGCTCTAACAATGCGTGTGCCCTCCACCTTCCAGTTATTCTAGGCTAGTAACCTGCTTACAGTTACTCTTCCGCACATACTTCTCAATTGCCGCCTGTGGTTCCTCTGAAACTCGTTGTCCTTCTGACTTTTTTCGCTAGTTCACCTAACTCACTACATGATGCAACACTAAGAACCCAAAATGACTCAACATTGTTCGGGCTCACCCCAACAATACTTCTAGATTCATACTCAATCATCGTTGCTTCGCGGACGTGACTGTGCAAGTCTGATAGGCTTCAAGCATATATACCACGTAATTTGCGCAAATCAGTGATCTAAAAATGCGGTATATTTTCCAGGAGTTGGACTGGCAAGGCTAGCCTGACGTTTCGGGGGCCTCTCCATCCCAGGCGAGGGAGCTAGCTGAAGTCAAAGTGAATTATTAGACTAAGTAGCAGTGTCAAACTATATATATATGTCATCAGTACAGCGGGTCACTGATTCAGGGTTGTGTTCTCGTGAAAGGCTTGAAAGTTGTCCTGCCAAACGATTCGAAGTTGTGGGCGGCCTTGAGGCACATGCACAACACTAATCCAGACAATTAAAGGTTTGCTGTGTGCCTTGAATTAATCAATGCCCCAACCCCGTCCTAGATATGTACCTTAACGTATGTATATATACATACATACTTCAAAACACAAGCTAGGGGTACTAGAGGAGTCGAATGTCTGAACGTACGTGCAATATCGATCCATGGTCCGATCTTTGGACATTTACTCGAACCAAATGAACAACTAAGTTTTCAGGTGCAATGATATGCATTTCAACTTCCGCCTGGGTGCGGAATCGAAACAATTGAGTGGGGATGACAGCAAAGTAGGAGTTTCTAAATGACAACATAGGCATAGCAAGTAAAAACAGAAAAGATTGATGAATGCTGTAAAGGTTAAGTGACTAAATAATGCGCAAGTTGAGGGTGAATACGGTAAGATAGGATTACTTTTAAGGCTATCCGAATGTGGCTGCAGGTGAATGTCGAGCGCTGCGAAAAGTAGCGAACATGGCTGGGAAAATAATGAAGGGAATTAATTCTTCTTTTCCTCCTCGCCTTCCTTAGTCTCTGTGGACTCGGAGGATTGGTTGGCATTGTTCTCAGCATTGCGTTTCTCGTAAACCTTTTGGAAGAGACCGAGGGATGCTTGCTGAGTGTTGCTGATGGCCTCTTTGATCTGGGCAGCGGTAACAGAGGGGTCGGCAGCCTGGCCCTTGGCAGCTAACTCACGAAGTTCGGCGACGAGCTTGGTCACTTTCTCCTGCTCGGCAGAATCGAGCTGATCCTTGAACTCGTTCATTGCTGCACCTCTGGTCAGCCGACCGTTTTAGGACAAAAACGTGAGGAATTACCTTTCTCGGTATCAGCACATACTGAGTCAGCCTTGTTGGCCTCTTCGATGACGTTGCGACGCTCCTTGTCAGACTCCGCGAACTTCTCAGACTCCTCGATCATGCGCTCAATATCCTTTTCGCTCAATCCAGAAGAGGAGGCAATGGTCATGGACTGATCCTTGTTAGTGGCCTTGTCCTTGGCGGTGACGTGCACGATACCGTCTTGAAAGTTGCGTTGTTAGATGCAAAAGGATTACAAAAAGTCCAAGGCCACTCACCGGCGTCAATGTCAAAAGTAATCTCAATTTGAGGAACGCCCTTTGGTGCCGGTGGGATGCCGACGAGGTTGAAGTTCCCGAGGAGCTTGTTATCTCTCACGAGCTCACGCTCACCCTGGTAGATCTTAACTTCAATCGCAGTCTGCCCATCAGCAGCAGTCGAGAAGACTTGGCTCTTCTTGGTAGGAATGGTCGTATTCCTAGCGATGAGCTTGGTCATTATGCCACCAAGAGTCTCAATACCGAGAGAAAGGGGAGTGACATCTAGAAGCAGAATATCTGTGACATTTCCAGCGAGGACGCCGCCTTGAATAGCAGCGCCGATAGCGACGGCTTCATCCGGATTCACGCCCTTGGAGGGCTCTCGTCCAAACAGGGACTTGACGGTCTCGATGACCTTTGGCATGCGTGTCATGCCACCAACAAGGATGACCTCATGGACATCGCCGGCCTTAACATTGGCATCCTTCAATGCCTTCTGGCATGGACCAACAGTCCGCTCCAGTAATGGACCCACTAGCGATTCGAATTGGCTGCGGAGCATCTTTAGGTTGATGTGTTTAGGTCCAGTTGCGTCGGCAGTGATGAAGGGTAGATTAATCTCGGTTTGTGTTGTTGAGCTTAACTCAATCTTTGCCTTCTCAGCTGCCTCGCGTATACGCTGGATGGCCATGCGGTCGTTCGACAGATCAATGCCCTCGGTCTTCTTGAACTCCTTGAGGACGTGTTCGACAAGAACAACATCGAAGTCTTCACCACCAAGGTGAGTATCACCATTGGTGGACTTGACCTCGAATACGCCCTTCTGCATCTCTAAGATAGAAATATCGAAGGTACCGCCACCCAGGTCGTACACTGCAATGACACCCGAATCATTCTTATCCAAGCCGTAGGCAAGTGCAGCGGCGGTAGGTTCGTTAATAACACGGAGAACATCGAGGCCAGAAATCGACCCAGCGTCTTTGGTCGCTTGCCTCTGGGCATCATTGAAGTATGCAGGAACCGTAACAACTGTGGCAAAAAGGCGTGAAAAATGGACCGAGTCATAGCTGTGCCGAACACACCAGCATGCTTAACATTCTTGCTGACGTATTGCTCGGCAGTCTGCTTCATCTTTCCGAGAACCATGGCTGACAGCTCCTCGGCAGACTAAGAATGATCGTGAGAACTTCGAAACCAAATTAAAATTCAGTAACTAACAAAGCGTTTCGAAGAATCTGACTCGATGACGACTTCTGGCCGACCATCCGCACGGGCCATGACCTTGAATGGCCTAGGGACGCCAAATTTAAGTCAGTTACACACTCCAAAACTGAAACACGCACTCACCAATGAGCGATGTCCTTCTGTACCTCCCTGTCATTAAACTGTCTCCCAATTAATCGCTTGAATCCAAACACCGTTCCGACTGGGTTTACAACGCTCTGGCGCTTAGCAGGTAATCCAACAAGACGTTCACCATGCTTAGTAAATGCAACAACAGAAGGTGTTGTACGGGCGCCTTCCGAGTTCTCAATCACACGTGCCACTTTGCCCTCCATGACAGCTACGCAAGAGTTGGTCGTGCCGAGGTCAATACCGACCACAGGTCCGCTGACCTTGGTGTTCATGTTACGTGCAATGCATGAGCGGGGGACGTTCTAGTTTATATCCGGTTGTTTAAAGACCATCCAGAGCCAGAGTTTCGAAAAATGAGCATTCGAGCCAGAAATCAGCGTAAAGGGATCGCAGGTTGAAGTCAGCATATATAGCTTACAACAAGCAATCAATTGAAGCACATAACACATACAGCATATTGCCCAGCCCTAAGAGACGCAGTGCGTAAACCACGAACAGCTGCAAACATTGTCACGGTTGAGTATGCAAAAATGTGTGGAGGGAAGGAAGAACTTGGTGGAAAGAAAAGCTTGAAGATTTTCGCACGGCAATGGCCGAGGGCTTGCGAAGCTATTACGTCAGCCCCAATTCCGCCGCTAATTTGTAAGGTGGCACGCTGCGTCATATGCCAATAGGCATGGATACGGTGTCCAAAATGGTATCATCATTGTGGCAAGCACATTACAACCCGGTGCTCTGACTCCGGCTCGCCATCAAGCCTCGCTGTGCTAGGATGAGGAGTGGTATGATGAAGACGGCGTGCAAGGCAGCCAGAAATCTGAGGACTGGTGTTTATCGGATTTCGAGTCCCTGCCGACTGGCGATGTCAGGGATCAACACGCGACTTCTGGCTCCTACACTTACTCGAGCTAGCTGCCTCAGCGTGTTCACTGACTAATGCGCCAAGCCTCAGTATGTTGCGCTCTCTCAATATTCTGCTTCAGCTGATGACACATCCAGGCCCGATGTTCAATTTTTCGGGAAACCAGGGGTTCGATCTTTTCGACACAAAGACACGCATTGCGGCAATAAACACGGTCAAAAAATGGGTGTTGATGTTTCTACATGAAACCGACAAGGCATCAGCACAAGATCGGCAGTTGAAGGTATCTGCCAGCATCGTCATCACCCCTAGATTATATTTATTCATATATCCCAACGGATCGACACCCATTTTGAACTCACCAAGTTATTCCATTCGAAAGTACTCGCCATTGGAATGTAACAAATTGGTGGGCAAACTTATTGTTCATGCGAACGGTACGTTTACGACGTGGATGAACATGACGTTGAATAATTGCAGAAGAACAATACGATTCCTTCGCCCACTCGCAAGGTCAAAACTCAACTCGGAGGCAAGAACATCACGACTTTCTTTGTCAACTCATCATGATTGACGCAAAGTCCCACTACCATGCGTGGGAAGCAAACATACACAATTGTACATTTGTAGTAGTGACAGAGCTGACTGAGGCTCGCAGATTATTTTAATAGAAGATTGAATTGCTTCCTGTCACTGCTATCGACTGTCAAGGTTTGCTCAGATTCGGAGCCGAAATGTCCAGTCTACTTTGATCTCTATTGAAAGGAAATCGTCCGTCAGGCGGGCCAATACCGAAGAGATGTGAGCACCATCATACCCCGAGCGCCTGCTTCTGCCGCCTGTAATACGCTTTCGCCAGACCTCCACCCTGCTGTATCGTCTGATTCAGAGTATTCACCAACTGCACTCTTTTCGTTTCTGTTGTATCCTCATCCATGACCTTCTCATCTTTCTCGTTCTTCTCTTTCTTCTCCCCCTTTCCTTTCTGCGGCTCAAGCGACGGAGCCTGAGCCATCGCGTGTCTCAGAGCCACCTTCTTCAATGCATTCTCTTTCTCTAGTTCTGCAGCGCTCAAGGGATCCCCCAACGGTGTCGTGCTCTTCAAACTCTCCAGAGTAAGTAAAGGTTCTGTTAAGATGGGTTCCGCTCCTCTAATAACGTCGCTGGCACTCGAGGCACTGCTTCTCCGACCTCGCTCTCCCGCTTTCTGTACCTGCCTTCCTGGTTTCGGGGTGACACGATCTACTCTGGATCCCCTCGAAGGGACAGGGTATGGTTTTACGCCAAGATTTCGCGCACACCATGTCCAATGCTTTTGAGCATTCGTCATTGTCGGAGTGGGCTCAGCAGCAAAGCCTTGGAAACCGCTGAAAAGCATGGCCATATGCCGTACCCGGAGCCTGTCCTCGTGAGGACGTGCACGTGCGAATTGGGTCTTTTGAGCTGCCAGTCGAAGAGAGGAAGAAACACCGTGATGGTGGAAAGGTAGGCATGATGAGGGTGGCACGAAGACAGATCCGAGGAATGAACGAGCCAGAGGGGGAATCATTGCACCGCGGATCAGATTCGACCGACGGTAGAATCATTAAAGAATAAGCGATGAAGTGTTAATCATCCGAAGCAAGGAACGATATCCCGTTCATGAGCCCGTTGGCCACATTTAGGAGGCATGAGACCACAGGCCGCAAGTTGGAAGCCGAAGAGATAAGCGGGACAGGCATTTCACAGCATTTGGAAAAGCAACGGGGAGGGATGGAATGGAAGCAGGAAAGCCCCATAAATATTTCAGAAATGGGGGGGAAAAGGTTAGCATGAAGGGGGCGAAACTCGTCAGCTCACGTATTCCAGAAATGTGAGGCAATTGAACGTACATTCATCCATGGCTTGTATTCGAACAAACAACAGATCCTTGTTTGTGTTCAGGCTTGGATCGACGTCAGGGGCAGTCGTTCGCTGCACAGATTTTCCCTGCAACACGTCCGAGTCAACAGGGATCGCAGACACTTCTCCCCGATTCTCTTTCTCAGGCATGCGAGACTGAGCAAAACCCAATAAGTCGGCCAATCCTTCGCCTTCTGGCTTGTGTGCTGTGTTGGTTCTATGGGGGACATGGACATGATACCCAGTCAGAGATTTAGGACCGAGCCTCTCGATAGAGCTTGCATCACGAAACCGGAGGAAGATACGGAAGCCAAAGCGGGTCGAATCAAAGTCCTAGGTATCCTGGGTGAGTGCGTATGAACCATGTGAATGACTATATGCGATAAAATCACAAAATACTGCATGGAAAAGAAAGGATTGAGACTCGCTCTGAGGCGCGAAAATTCGGGAGAGAATCATGGTGTCCGGAAACATTGTCCTAAGCCAGCGAAATTGTGGAGCAATGCTAAAATAAAGCGCATACTCACTGTCGGACACCGGTACTCAAAAATATGCCCATAGCGCTTCTCAGTTTCATGGATGATAGCTAGAAGATTAGATAACGTCCTAACTTTGTCGTCCACAAGGATGGACGCGTGGTACTTGGATGGCTCGGCAACAGAAGGAACAGGAATCGATGGCTCTGGCGAGGGTTTCATTGGTGGTGTCAATTCGAAGTTAGTGTCAACATGGAGTTGTTCTAGCACAATTGAGGGTTTATCAGGTAGCTCTTTATCGAAGCCATCTGCGAGCAGTTCTTCCTTATCAGCGAAGCATGTCGGGGAACAGGAGAGCTGACGGCGGAGTGAACGGCCGGAAAGGCAAAAACGGGTGTAAAACGAAGCGGGATTCGGCAAGGATTTTCCAGATCGAAGCATACGATACTTATCGGGTGGAGGAGGGCTCAAACTGGTCAAATGAACGCGTCCAGCTGATAGAGAAGCACTGGAGAACGGCCCAAAGTTGGACGAGGGGGAGAGTTTCGTGTCCAAATTTGGCTTCCGGACAGTTTATCACGTGAGCGGATTTTCCTTTGCTTTTCTTTTTTTTAGAAGAATTTATGCACAAGAGCGCGAGAGGTATCATTCTGATCGGAGAGCCCTGAACCATACACTCATCGAATTTGTGACATGGGATCCCTCGATTAGCAAGTGGTTTGGGCAAGACGTGGAAATTAAGCCTCCATCTGTTGATTTGGTGTGTAGAAAGCATAGGCGAGCGAGATTAGAACGACGAAGCAGGACGAAGTTGCTTGACATTTTAGCGATACGACTGTCTGCACCAAGGTCAGATTAAAACCTGAATATTTTTACGGTTGTTCCGGGGATGGAGAGTCGTCGGAATGGTTGACTAGATCACTAAGTAATTATTCAGGTAGTAATACAAATGAACCTAACATAAAAAAACCATGGTAATAGCGATCCTCATCAGACAACTTTCCACCCTCAACAATTGATGCCCAGTCATGTTGTATTAATATTGCAAGATCGAATATTTAAATTTAATTATCTCAACTAGTGCACGTGACCTTCCTGGTCGAATATCATCCATCTTCTCGACTTTAGTTTTGAGCTCTGCCTTCTCGTCTCTTGTATTCTTTAAAAGTGACCTCAAGCCTGAGTTGCTGGAGATGCGTCCCCTCTCACCCTCGCTTCTACTTTCCTACATTCGTCTGGATTCACCCGAACCAATGGACATGCAGACACCTTACATGACTTCCTCTCCTGTCGTTACCCACCTCTCCTCTTATCTCTCGCCCCCACCATCAGAGCAGGAGGTGGACTACCAGGTCCCCCTTTCGCCATCCAGTCATGGCTCGATGTTCTCCCACTTTATGCCGCAACAGCAACAGCTAGCGCCGCAGCAGCACTGCATGCCAATGTCGCACATCTTACCGCCCTCTTTCTCCCTCCAGACTCCTACTGTTTCATCGGGTTCGGTGGTCCAGCCTGATTCCCTCTCGTTCCATGCCCAGCACCCTCCACCTACTCAACAACAAAATTCTGCACAGCATCACGAAATTCAATCCAAAAAACGCGGTTCAGATTGTCCATCAACATCAACCCAACACTGTGGCGGTTCGGCGAGCAGCTCTACGCCTCCGCCCCCGAAAAGATCACGGGCCGCACCATCTGGACCCATCAGTACAAAGGACTGGGTACCACCAGATGTCACTGGACTTAACAAACGCGAAGCCCGTCTCGTGAAAAATAGGGCCGCGGCTTTTCTATCCCGTCAGCGCAAAAGGGAGGAATTCGAAGCTATGGAGGGGTGAGTATATTTCTATCCTCGCCGACACCGCAAATTCTATTTCATTGCCTTTTTTCTCCACACTTTTGTGCCTCAACTGAATGGGCCATTCTCACCCTGCATTCTATACATTACTATCTGTTCCCGTCGATTAGAACTCCCTTTCTGAAGTCATTCAGATCCCTCTTTCTTCCTCGTACTGATGGTCTCCGATCTCTCCCCTAGACGAGTCAAAGCTCTTGAAGCAGAAAATGCCAGGCTCCGACAAAATGCCCCGCCCCAACTACGGGACACCTCTGAAAACGAAGCTCTTCGTGCCCAGCTACGAGAGTCCGCAGCGAGGGAACAAGCGCTCCAACAACGAATCCGGGAGCTGCAAGAGGCATTGCTGGATTCTACTTCACCCCCGAGACCGTCATTCACTAAGAGTTTAACAGCGTCACCGAGTGCGGTTTCGTTGGCTTCTATCCCCCCGCCCCCTGGGGTCGAATCGGACGACGACGATGATACTTCTTCAGTTTCTTCGTCCAGTGCTGTCACCTGTTCAGGCGGGATGACGAAGGATAAAGATAAATCCCACGGTAGCGTCGCGTTCATGGTGAGTTCTTCATCTCAGGCATCCAAGTAGTGTCCAAGTCGCTGATCTACATCTTCTGCGAAACTCCTTGACTGTTGCTACCCAATAAATTTTCACACAATCCTCGTCACATGCATCTCCATGTGCAATATTGCCCCTTCTGACATCAAAATTCTCTATCCATTTCACATGGATACATTTCCCGTGATGGTTTTCGTTGCTAGGTCCTCATGATGTCGCTCTCCTTTCTTTCTTCTGGGCCCTCTGGTGCCGCGCGCGCGCGGGTTGCACGCGGCACAGGCTTCGCGCCATCTGCTTTCTCTTTTGCTGCACCCTCTGCACCCTCGGGCATCGCCCCATCAGCGCCCTTTGATTTCTCCATGGATACTTTACTCGGCAAGCCGCCGAATTCCCCACTGACTCCTTCCCAAGGCGCAGCAGATGTTACTAGCGGTAGCAAGGTGAAGAGTGAATGGGGCTTGGACGATGTTGTGGGATCCTCCCCGCTATTTCCCAGGTCGTACGGTTACAGCTCACTTGATAGTCCGGATTTGGACTATGCCTCTGGGTTGGAAGTTTCACCTCCATTCCCCACATCCATCCACTCCCCTATACTGCCATCGTCACCATCTACTTTGTCGTCAAACTTCGGTACCGAGTTCGGGTCGAATAAGGTCGAGGTCTCGATCGTGAAACGCGTGGAGGAAACCACTTCATCTGTTAGGGACTCGTACGTATTCGATCTGCACTTTCGCCCGGCGCCCGATGCCTCCGATTCGGTGAATGAGATGATCAACATGGAGACGAAATCGCTCACTGTGCATCTACGCAAAAAACAGAACTCTTTGACGCTTCAGACATCCACAATCCCTTCCTCCCTCGCTTCAGCTCCGTTAGCATCGGAGTTTGGTGGGGAACAATCAGCAGACTCCCCCAACAGCTTCACGTATCCTTTCTGGTCATTAAACCAATGCTCGAGCCCGACCCCTTCATTAATTTCTTCATCTTCTACGGAAGGCGCACCGATTACGTTACAGATCAAGGACTCAAATATGCTCCCACTGGGCGATGAAAATGTGGATACCGGGACATGGGAGTTGTCGTTCGAGAGTTCGACGTAATCCTGACGAAGTCCAAAATGCAACAACCCACGTGTCGACACTTGGGTCCTTTCATTCGCAGCTCTTCTCTTTTTTCTTCAGCTGCTTCCTTGGGTTTACTCTGTTTCTTTGACTTCTATCCTACTTATTTTATTCTATCTTCGTCGCGTTCCGAATCGCTTTCTTTATTCTCCTTGGTTTCGGCCGGTACAACCCTCTTCGTATTATCAATGTACTCCCACATTAGTCTGTCTTCCCTTTGTCAGCTTTTGTGTAGTCCTTATGGCTTTATTATCAGTGATTCGCGAGGATCCTGTAAAGATGACGTCGCCAAACCACTCGCTGCAGGTTAGAGATTTAGTATGGATGGGATACATCGGTGTATTGTTTCTCTATGAACGTACTAGCACCGAGAAAATTGCCGCGAAATACCAGAGCTGCCGCACAAGGCTAAACGCGTGCGTGACTCGCGTTGATAACTCCTGTTAGGATCAAGAAATGGGTACGTGCGACCGTTCGGATCCACAAATGCCTCAAGGGTAGCTATATCATTTCGAATGGAACAACGTCATAGATAATTTCGGAATCCGATCATAAATTAATGAAGCTGGGAGCTGACGGCCCTGCATCTGAGGCAAATGGCAAGTCGTATGGCTAGATAGAAGCACACGTGTAGGGTCAGCTCGACCACAATGAATACAGTAACAGGTTCTTACGGTCGAATTCGGGTAGTCCATCTGGCTTTCTATGTAGCTTCCTTGTACACATCGAAGACGGCGTCGTCTAACCGACGAAAGGCACTAGTTCTGTCAACACGCCCCATAATTGATGGATCGATATGATGGTCGGATTAAGACGACTCCACCAGCGGCTTGGGCCATGATCTGGGGGTAATCGCGCGGGGAACCTGCAGTGTGCGGCTAGGGGGGTTCCTGGGTCTAGAACGGCGGCGGCGGGGACTGGCAAAAAAAAAAATGCAATGATGCGAGGGATAGACGACTGTTGTGCCAGTTGGCTAATTCGAGAGATTGAGGGCCGGTAGCACCCAAGGCTTGGAGTACTACCTAGAGAATATTATCTTAAGAATTAACCGCCGTCCCAATCGAGCCGTAGCCTGCTGAGCTGGTGCTTCAACAGCACGAACTGGCGGAAAGAATAATCTCAACCGTTGAATTAAATATCCCTTGCCCCAGATTCTCTCACCTTGCTTCTCCGAGCACATCAATGCAGCTATAAGGCGCAAACGATCCAAACCTGATGGGGTCTAGAGGCACTCGCCGATCATTTCATGCAGTACACCGACACTAGCTCCTTACCCAACTCTTGGCCAGAGTGGGGCTGATCGCTACCAACTAGCAACAGCTTTGATAGATGGGGATTTCACAAATACTGAGTCGGTGGCTTCGCCTACAAGACTGATTAACTACTCAAATGTCAAGGCCAAATCTAGTGACGCTCAGGTACGGAAAAAAAGTGAAGCTTCATAGTAGCTTCCGGCTTCACGCCGTCGTCGGTTCTGTAATCGCATTCATGGAACAAATCGACGGCGAAACCCGCCGCCGGTTAACTTGGCCGCTTCTGTGCAAGCTCATGTCCAACAGACCCACTCTCTCATTTTGCCAAAGATGGGTCTTGGTGTAACACACAACGACCTAAGGCTCTGCTGAGAGCAATAGGACCCAGACTAATCATGGAAGTCGAACTTACAGGATTTCATAACAACAGGCCGAAAGCATTTGCGGTCATCAATCATGTCACCTATACTTATTTTTAGGCACATAATTAGGTGCCCAAGCACCAGGAATCTGCTATCTTCGCAAAGTCTACGCTTCCCCGTCGCCAGCCTCAACAATTCATTCCAAATGGCTCTTCTTGTGGTTCTGTTCAACCGGACAAAATATATCGGCAGATAGTCCTGCACACCAAAGTAAATCCATTGCCGAGCATCAAAACGGGTACAAGCTAGACTTTGACTGAAGTGTAAATACGATTTGAATGATGCATCGGTGTCGTCTGCATGAAGACCTGAGCCAGAATCGCGAAGGAGCTGGTCTTGCTGATATTCTGATCTGTCGTCGGGAACCTGGCTGCCTGATAGCACAGAGAACGAATGCACAGTGCATTCCATCATCCTTAAATAAATGTATCTCTGAACAATGAGGCTTCCTTCAGGAGAAATGTATTTACGATGGGAGAATCCACATCATCGCGTCGCCATCAATCACATATTTAGATACCTCAATCGTTGCTGTTGTATGTACACTAACTTGGAGCTTTGCGAATGATTGAAGCATCTAAATATACGATTGACGGTGGTGAGGTGCTCCTTTGTGAGCAGAATATTGACTTAGTATGGCCGAATATGCAATATCAGGACGTGTGCCTAGCATCGCGTACATAACGCTATCGACTCAAGATTGATAGTCATGGATGCTGACTTCAGGAGTGTTGAGTTGAGGGAGTTTAAAGTTAGATGCAAAGTGGAACAGGAGTTAGCGAGACCAAACCGCGTAAGAATATGCAAGTCTGGCAGGGCACCCGTGGTCATTTTAAGACCTAAGAACCACCAGGATCCTTCAATTTGGACACCTTCATCAGTTGAAACTTTCGAGGTTAAGAAGTTTGGGATCGTTAGAAAGGTCGTCGACATCGAGCACGATGATGCAGAGTTTGGTTCCCCTGCCAATGGTAGACAAAGAGTGCAATCGGAATCACACCGAAGAAATCAAACTCTTCCTTCGCCTTCTCGTTCCACGCTCGCGAAGCCTCTAAAGTGCCCGATTATGGTGTTGGTCTGGAAATTGGAGAAGAGTCTTGGATTTCTGCGGTGCGACTCGGACCACGCATGTTTGTCTATCGTGGGAAGGGAAAGAAACTCCTATATATGATGACGATTTATTTCTAACGATGAAGGCGTTCAAAATGAAGGAACTCGGTGAAATCCATTGGTTCCTAGGTCTCGAAATGATGTGGAGCCTATGGGTTGAAAGGTATTATTGATCTGGGGAAAGCCTACAGTTGGAGTAAGAATCGATCAAAGTCTAGAGTAGAATAAGTAGATCGGTCAAGACGCAGATTCATTGGAATCACGGTATTTGTCCGACTGAATTTATCAACTAATCGCCGCGACTTTCCCATCCCAGAGGATTTCGAAGAACGTTCGGTCACTGTGTGACACCGCCATGTATGGACCATCTGGAAGAAACGTTGAGTGATGATTATCACAGGCAGCATACGACTTTTTGAATAGAGGCGACCTGGTAATATACACAGGGAAGGGGATGAAGGAGGGTAACGCTGAGGAAGATAAACGCACAGACAAAGAGAGAGGTAAACCAAACGGAAGCGACCGAAAGGCAAAGGCCGAAAAGCAAATAGAAGTGAAACCCCTCGTGGTAAGTAACCGAAGGTCACAAGGCCTTCACCTTACCTAAACAGCCGCGTGGGGAACCAACCGACTTGTAGAATTGCCGGACTAGGATCTGCGAGAGCAGGGAACCGCTAGATCGGCATGACTGGACGGGCGTGCATGCGGTGAGGCTGACAGCGGGTACAGCAAAGAATTCCCAAGAAACCTGCAGTGGATGAGGTTGACAGTCGATCTAAAAATAACCCCATCGTGTTACGTATGTATTCCTTGTGCAGAACTGGGTGTCAGTACTGCAGTAGAGGCTGGGATCCTGCCTAGGGCGGTTTAGGCTTTTGAATCGCTCAAGGAGGAGTCGGAATGCATCGAGGGAACAGAGGGCGAGTCATAGGCGAGTTATGAAGGCCAAGCAAGTGCACGAAAATAAATCGATCACGGGCGCTAGTTTAGGTATTATGTACGTACGGGTAATGCTCAAATGAGGAAGATTCAGGCACCGGCTGTTGACATCCGCGTCAATGCTAAATGAACCTCTCGCGCGGAAACACCGCTTTTTCTCCTTTTACGTCAAGGACGTTCGTAAACGTTTATTAGGTCTAAACGCGTGGTGAACGTGTTCTTTGAGTGACGTTCTTAAACACGCACACACACACCCCCATCCCCCCACTTCCCCGCTTCCCAAATGGTGGTTCCTTCTGCAGCAGCCAGACTCATTCTCAGCCTCGTCGCTTCGTTGTATCTCGCGTCACTTGCACGCGCCGCCGTTGTCGTCTCTGACCCAAAGCTCGTTTCCAACAAAACATATGACTATATTGTCGTTGGCGGCGGTTTGGCGGGATTGACGGTGAGAGAGAGAGCTTACCCGTTTATTGACATGTAATTGGTTCTCATTCCGGCGCCGTCCGAGTCTTTAGGTTGCTGGACGCCTCACGCAAAACCCAGCAGTCACCGTCCTCGTCATCGAAGCCGGAAAGGATGATCGAAAAGATCCTCGCGTGTTCGACATTTACAAATATGGACAAGCCTTCTTCACTTCTCTCGACTGGAGTTACCCCGCTGATGGTGGAAAGACTATCCGGGCGTGAGTTCCCTCCTCACGTTTACTACTACAAGGCCCAACGCTGAGCATCACATAAGGGGAAAGACTTTGGGCGGCAGCTCATCCATCAACGGTGCTGCCTGGACGCGTGGAACACAAGCACAATACGATGCCCTAACCCAACTTCTTTCACCCGCAGACCAATCCGCTAATCTAGGTTGGAATTGGGCCTCTCTTTCATCCTACATGCGTAAAGCAGAAAAGTTCAACCCTCCTTCTGCCGCTCAACGGGCCAAAGGGGCGGATTATATTGCTAGCTATCATGGAACTTCTGGCCCTGTGAACGTTGCTTTTGCACAGAAGATGTATGGTGGACCCCAGCAGAAGGCATTTGCGAATACCGTAGTCAAGCTAGGGGTGCCAAAATCTAGGGATTTGAATGGGGGCCAACCGAATTGTGTTGCGTTCACTCCTGATGTAAGCCAGTTATTATCTTTCTTCCGTTACAAGTTGCTGATGCGTGCCTTGGTGTTCATCTTATAGTCGATAAACCCCTCCGATGGCGACCATCGTTCCTCATCTGCCTCCTCGTACCTCACCCCCTTCGAGACCCAACGGAAAGGATGGACGGTCCTGATTGGACAACAAGCCACCAAGATCATCTTCAACCCATCCGCATCCCTCCCTCGTATCGCGACGGGTGTACAGTTCGGTACGTCCAACGGAGCGAGGTACACTGCACGCGCTCGAAAACAGGTCATCGTTGCTGCGGGTGCTATCGGATCTCCTGCTTTCCTCCAGCTTTCCGGTATAGGCGATCCGGCCACGTTATCGCAATTTGGGATCAAATCTGTCGTGAACCTTCCTACTGTTGGGAAGAATTTACAGGAGCAGAGTCTAACTGCTCAAGGTGCCAGGGGAACGAACTTTAACGTGGGAGGTAGTGGACCATCGGACGTCATTGCTTTCCCTAATATTTATCAAGTAAGTAATCAGTACATAGAATTGGAATGCCGGCACCACTCACATTTCTCTTCTTCCAGTTATTCGGGAGCAGTGCTCAGACGATGGTTACGCATATCAAATCGTCCCTGTCCGCTTGGGCTTCCTCTCAAGCTAGCAATGCTCTTTCTGCGTCTGCTTTGCAGAAGATCTACCAAATTCAGGCTAACCTTATCATCAACAACAACGGTACGATTTTTTGAACATCACCGTTACTGTAAAAAAAAATTGATCCCCACGATGTTTACCTCAACAGCACCTGTTGCTGAGATTTTCTCCGATACTGGATATCCTGATAAAGTTGGAACCGTAAACTGGCCATTGCTTCCCTTCTCCCGTGGTAACGTCAGGATTACGGTGCGTCGTCATCTTGCACATATACAACGAATTGTGTTTTTTGACGTGCGTGAACGTACAAAGTCAAACAATCCTTTCGTGAAGCCACAGACGACCGTCAATTGGTTCGCCATCGACTTTGACTTGAGCGTCCAAGTTGCCATCGGTCGCTTCGTTCGTCGACTCTTCCAAACTCTCCCTCTCAGGTTTGTTTTGCGTTCTTATAGTTTAAATAACCCGAGACTAACGTAATTCACGGACAGCGGGTGGACGCAAGGCGAATCTTCACCTGGGTTTGCCGTCGTACCCGATGATGCCCAGCATGGGTCGGATGCGGCGTGGTCGAGTTGGATTAAGAAGACGTTCGTGCCTGTGAGCCATCCTATCGCCACATGTGCCATGATGGATCGAGCGTTGGGAGGTACGTGAATGGGCACGACTTTACCTCATCGACCTAAAACGGAAAATAATGCTTTTTTTTTTTTTTTTTTTTTTCTCAGGTGTTGTCGATGGTCATTTATTGGTGTATGATACGAAGAACGTTCGTGTCGTTGATGCATCGGTCCTTCCTCTTCAAGTGAGCGCACATTTGTCGAGTACGATATATGGAATTGCGGAGAAAGCTGCGGATATCATCAAAGCTGCTCCATGATCGCCAACTGTCTGACCAGATGTTTATTCTTTTTTTCTCCCACTCTTCTTTTCCCTTTTTGGTTGGGGGGGACAATTTTTCGTTTTCGTTTTTCATTACATTTGCTTGCACATATTTTGTTCCTCCGAGGGCATCTTTTCGCTACCTTACGAAACGTTCTTGCTCAAGTTGCATCGCTTGCATGATCAATTCAATTTTGGACTTTTGGAAATGTAAATGTTATAATTCATGCGGTTGAACATGCATCGAGAATGTGATACTACTCGTGGTTCTGCAGACGTGACGCGATAAAAGCCATGAAGTAGCTGTGATTTCATCGCTGTCCCCTTTAATTTGTAGTGGGGGGTACCAGCCTCTGCGACGCGACTACATGTAGCCTACAGGCAATGTGGATCGTGGGGGTCAAAGCTTCCATAGCGCAAATCAAGTCGACAACACGAAGATCAACCCAACACTCCCAGGAACCGGGCCCGCGCACATTGACCCAAAAACGAACGTATTACAGATATCGGGAATATACATACCTGTTGCTGTTGCCCGGCGCCGCCCGGGCCCGTTCTCGGTCGATTGTTTCTCATGCACTCATGTTCCGTTCGACCTTTACCTTTTTTTAATCCAGTCCCCACAAACAGGGCTTTATCACATTCACATCCTCCTTCATCGGCTACCACTCAATTCTCCAATTGGATCCTTTTACTCCCATGAGGTTATATGTACTGGTGATGGTTGGGGGGTTGTTGCTGATGAATCCAGTATATTCGTGTATAATGTCATCGCTTTTTTTTTTTGCCGATCGAGCAGATGTGATGTTGGAACGTGCTCGCAAAGGGGACATACATCACCCACCCGATGGTAGCGGGTTCTGCGGTACTTTATAAGTGTTAGGGAGCTGAACATGGAGTGGTCGACCCTGAGTCACTGCACTGCGGGAGGTCCGGTGAGAAAAGAGATGATCTTTTCCCCGTCGTCAACTGAGTCGTTGAAGTTTAGTTCAGTAGATAATGACTCCCATGCAAAGAGCCTCGCCTCGATGACTCTGCAAATCCAGCTTCTAGAATTCAATAGCCACAGTTAATCATGACTACTCTCGAGCAAGGTAGATTTCTATCGATAACCCCCAGCAGTCGGTTGTATCGAATTCTGACTTTCACATTTCTTCGTCAAAATTGCAAACCTCCTCATGTTCCGCCACCAAAAGGAATGGTTTTCGAATGAGGTGGATCGGAGACTCGGGCAATGCTGTGCACATTCCCGAACAACGTTCCGCAAAAATTACGGTCCAACGGGGGGAGGGGGGCGCGACGTCGCGATTCCCCTGTGAAAGCTCTCTAAAAAAAAATTGAACGAGATTGAAAGGGACGCCTCAGATGTGAATCTGATGCTCCCCAGAGACTACAGTCCTTGAAGCGTACCGGGGAACCAACGCTCATCGGGGAGAAGGAATCCGAAGTTAGAGTTCCATAAGTCGAAGACATGGCAGATCATCGTTGGTGAACTCTTGTCCATGTAGTAGACAAGAGTCATCTAGAGTACTCCGATTTGCGAACCGGATGCGCCCCCCCCCCCCAGGAAAATCTCCAATGTTCCATTGAATCGCCAGAGAACGCACATGAAATCAACTTAATGCTCGGAGACGCCAGTAGCAACTGACAATGCCTAGATAACAGACGATGGAACCCACTTATACCCCAGTCTTTAACCCAATTCTGAGACCGTGCAGACAATCCCGTAACATTTCCACAGTATATAGCTGATTCCCGACATAAAGGAATCTTCAGTTCTCCCGGGAGACGCTGAGCAAGGGGGTATCTTCCAAAAAGCTCAGGACATACGATTCAAGGAGGTTCTACGTAGGGTGCCTAATCATTTGGTGATGAACGAGACCCTCGGCGGACGAAAAGACGGACTGGACTGGCTTTAACGAGCGGCTCTCCGCAAGCAGGGTCACACGAGGTGTGCGCTCGGCTTTGACTCCTGACTCTTGACGGCCGTTCCACGCCGAGAATATTTTCTCGAGGCTGCAAGGTTGCCACACTAGCACAGTTGGCACTAAGTAGAGGAGACAACAGTACTAGACTCGCCCCGCATCCGCGCAGTTCGAGTCCCAGTCGGACGCATCATATGTAATCGGCTTTGGCTCAAAGATACAAATCAGCGTCTCAACACTGAAGCTCAAAAAGAACGCGCACAATGCATGAAGGGAGAACGTCCCTATCCTCGTCGGACCCTTTTCTTAACTTTTTGCTATACGACTTTGAGGCGATGTAAAAAGTTGGAAAGCCCGGCCCGAGCAATCCTTCCTTGATTGAATAGCGCGTTCAATCGGCTGCTTCATACAGCAAATTACCGCCTCCAAGAATGTTTTAAATGCAAACCCGAGTCAGGACCTGCGAAGTGTTGCACGACCATGTTCCGCAGACTGATGGGTCGAGATAGCGTCCAAGCTAGCCGGCTTTCCTGGCCGAATACAGAATCTTCGCGCAGAGTGAATGTCTATTGTTCCCTTCCTAATGGGTCTCACTAGCATATCCCTAATGGGTCTTAGCATATCGCGGGGATCAGCAACCGCCTATCGACCTATAAGACGTTCTTCTTCCCATTTCCTCCATCAGGATATCCGTTCTCTATCTTCGCGGAGCCTGGATGACTACCGCAGTTTTCTGGGCGATAATTGTCCCCTATCTAGTGTATCGAGCGGCATGGATGGTCCTTCGAAGCTACTTCGTTAACACGACGACCGTGCTGAATGACCTTGAACTACTAAGGAAGACCCCCAGCGCTCAGAAGGTCCCGGGGACCGCTGTGATTGCTGGAGGCAGGTGAGCAATTATTCACCGCGACGCTTGCCCTCTGCAAACGCGTATAACTGAGAGATCGGTTCCTAGCCTAGCGGGATATATCTCGGCGCGAATTTTGGTAGATTACTTTGAGAAGATAGTTATCATTGAGCCTGAAGTTGATATCACGCTTCATGGCCGCGCTTCACAACGCGCTCATTTCCATGGCTTTCTGTCAACATCATTGATCATTCTTCGCGGACTATTCTCAAATTTTGATGAGGAGGCTGCTAAGCACGAAGTGTATCTACTTCCCCCGTTCAGGCACTGGTGGATGGGAAATTCATACCTTGGTGACTTGGAAGCGAAGAGGTTACACCACGTTGCTGGCTCGCGATTTTCGTGAGTGCTGTCACTCCTTCGCGTAAATTGAACCGATACCCACCTCATCCAGTATGGAGAACCTTTGCCGCCACCTCTCAATTGCATATTGTGGTGAAAACCTCCAGGTCATACAAGGAGTTGTCATTGATGCGGAAGCTTCATCCGACGAGAAGACAGTTTGCTCGGTTTCTTTCCGTCGTACTTCGGATGATCCACAAACAATTTCAACTATACCATGCGCACTGCTTGCAGATTGCTCTGGTTCCTCCTCCATTGGCATGAAACTATTGCCTGCAGCTTCCGGGGCATGGGGCCCCTTCAAGCGTGCGTCATACAATCCCAAAGCTAAATACTACAGTACCACTTTTCGGCTGTCTCCTGAAACTCAAGAAAGCGTATCAAGATCGCTTCCTAAACGCCATCCGGACTTTGGAGAATGGGAACATTGTGGTATCGTGGGATTAGTTTCCCCCATGATCGAGAAGGTTGGACGAGAGTTATTTGGATACCAGAGAATCGATGGGGATCGACGTGAGTAATTACTTCTTCCCCGATTCAGATTTTTTTCAGACGAGTCGTTTTTCCGCGATCAGTACTCCTCCTGTACGGTGGATGGGATGTCGAGACGTGCCCTCGGACGATAGCTCAATACGTCGAATTAGCTTGGCAGTCGTATGCCAAAGCGTTCCCTAAGGAGTGTCATAGTAGAGACGAATGGTTTTTCAACACCCTCCAGGTCGCTGGTAAAGGTGAAAATCTGCTGGACGAACCTCTTAAATGGGACCACTACAATCTAGTATGAACATTTAGTCAACTTATGTTTCACTGATGGGCGGAGTTAATCAACAGAACAGCTGTTCTTGGAACGATTACGCTCTTAAATCGATCCCGAACAACTTTATTGCGGTCGGCGATTCCCTAATGCGTGAGATCCTTTTCCTATGTGTTTGTATTCTGTCTGTGATATGTGGGTTTTCCGTAGGTGTGAATCCGTTCTTTGGACAAGGCGTTACCAAACTTCTCTGCAATGCCACTATTCTAAATTCCACGTTGTATAAAATGCTAGGAAAGTCCACCGTGCCTCGGGCTGAGCTGCCATCGGGCTTCTCCCATACTTATTTCAAGCGTGTTCTTCCCATCGACAAGGGCATGTTTGATACGACCCGTATGTTAGATTATGGTTACAAGACGACCGTTCCGTCGGCGGGGGACACGTTGGAGTTTGGTGCTGGATTCAGGAAATATTGGGCAGCTCTTGTGAACTTTGTGGTCCACGTGAGTATTTGTTTCTTGGACGGTAGCAGGAATATGGTGAATGCCTATGTTCAATCCTTGATAGGATGCTAAGGCCTTTGTAATATTGGACGATGTGTTATGCGGATATCGACCCGCGATAGACTTGATGAGCCCATCCTTAATTCTCAAGTCGCTATTTTGGATGTGGTGGTCACCTCCAAAGTCTGTCGAAGAATGATACGGTTGTCCTTTGGGCCTGAAGCCTCGTCAGAAACTATTCCTTCTGTATTTTTCATTTCTCTTTCGCAGATCTGCTAGTAATATTTGTAAAAATTAGCAATGCTGTGAAGCTTTGAATTTCGGGATGTCCGGGCGGCCAATTGAAATGTGCCTTTGTCCATTTCGAGTTCGTTAATGGACTGATTGTAATACCTGGCCTTTTGCGGCCCAATCGGAGCCCTCGATATCAGAGCCCCTTATGTTGGCGCAAAACAACGCGCCGCGATCACACATCACTAGCGTTGTCATTAATTTGCAAGTACAAAGGCGGTTTGAGGGACCCCCCAACTGTCAGGCCCCAACGCCCATCGAATTCGGAAGGGAAATTGTATGAGTGATGGTTACAGAACTGCAGAATATAGGCGTTAAATCAAGGAATCTATTTGAATTGCATTTCTGGGATTTGGGGCACGCATACTGGGCCTTATTGAGAGCAACGACGTTCCAAGCAGGTCACATCGACAGGAGAACGAGTCTGCCTGAACTAGCACCTGCAAATGACTTCATTTTATACCAGTCAATATCAGGCGGATTAGTACTCTGATCGTAGACCACTTACTTCAATGAGTATGATTCGTTCATCATCACAAATAATCACATCCTCGAGGTCCCCACGAAGTGGAAACCCAACGTCACGGTGAACCCGGGAGTATGGAAGACTACTCATGACGGTATCATCTTGAAATAGCTCCGGACAACTGATTACTGTAGGTGAGCTGCGATCGACGATAATCTGTGAACCACCCTGCACAAGACCCTCGCTGCTGCGTCGACGGCCTAAGTTGTCGTCCCAAGTCCATCTCCCTGGACTAAAATCGAGGACAGAAATAATGGATGGCATATTTCTGTATCTCCGAACGAATCTATTTCCCGAAAAGAAGCGTTTCTGTCTGAGTGAAAGTGCATTGTTTGCATTCGCCTGCAGTCGAGTGCTCATTGGTCCCCAATGGTGCCAGGGTATTGGCATCGCATGCCCCGCATATTCGTATGCCAAGTGAAGAAGCGTCCCTGAGTGCATGAATATGTCAAAGTTTCGAGCGATAGGACCGGAACTGCTGGAATCGTCACTATCAGAAGAGGCCTCCCCTTCTGTTGTCCAAAGTATTTGGATCAAGCTGGACCGGGAGGAGGGGAAAAAAGGTTTGCTGCGCATGTCTGGGCTACGAGAAGGTTGAATGACGATGCCACTTAAGATATCGGCATGAAGTTGTGGCAGCAGAAACGTGGCCATCGGTCGAAGTCCTCTTGTGTTACTATGGATTCCACACAGACGCAGTCCCACCTGATACTCTTGTGCACCATCGTCCCACGGGAGGTAGCAGGCTGTCAGTAATGTGGAAGGTGTAACAAAGCAGAAGGAAGCCATGGGGGCGTCCAATGCAGCGTGCTATACCTGGGGCTCAGTCTAAAAATGATCTGCGATGAGAAGGGAACTGACCGCCTCTATCATTCCAGAGCGCCATGACCAGATAGTCAGCCACGAGCCCGCCCCATGTTGGCATAACAATCCAAGCTTGTCGCCAAATATCCTTAACTGGTATTGAGCCCTGAACACTGGGAACGCCGTCTCCAATAATGATATGGTTGAGTAAGAGTTTAGGCTGTTGGATTCCAAAGACCGAATATGGAGACGGCCCCGGTAGGGATGGTCAGATCCTGGAGCGCTATAATCAACGCCATCATAACGGTGCCTTCAGTGGACCATCAGGACAAAAAAATACTCTCTTTCATCGTTTCGACTTACAACTCAAAGTACACAATCAAGTCAGCGTTAGGGTCGGTAGTGAAGGCTTCAACGGGGAATTCTGTCCATAAGACCTTGCTGCGGCACTGGTCATTACGAGACAAAGAAGGGAGTTGGCAAGTCCACAGGCTGTTTGGGCCCGTCGAAATGGTCAAGACTCCGCTCGCGAAATCCCAGTTGCCTCTGATGGAGGGAATAGGGAAATGGGACTCGGACCAATCGAGCCTGTTCCATCGGTTGATGTGTGAACGTAGGTGCTCAAGGATTGGTGCGATCCCTGTGCGTGCCAGAGCTCTTGGATCAGCAGAACGTTCATACGAAGCTCGATACAGTGCAATGTGATACTGCAGCTGGCCCGAGTTTTCAATGAGGTTCCGAAGGTGTTGACATGTCTAGCAACAGATGATTATTGTCTCGTATGTCGTTTGTACGAAGCGAGTGCACCAAACCTCACAGCATCGAAGGAGCGAGACACAGTCAAGATGAGATAGTATTTCCAAAAGGACCTCTGGCGCCAGTTGCAACAAAGTAGCTTGCGCCATGTCAGTCATTCTTACAACTGGCACGGAAGATGGGATACCAAACTTTGGCAGCTGCCATGCTTATAACACAGTATAGGGGCCTCCACGAGGCAAGTGATCCGTGATTATTCTGTCATGCATCGGACCAGAGTTTGGGTCAGCTTAATTCGAGACGGTCAGGTCATGATCACAAAAATCTGTGCTGAATTGATTCACAGTTGACCAGATCTGGGTCCTTTTGTCATTCTACACAGTAGCAGTACCAGCCACCATAGCGAGAATCTTTCCAATAGCCCTCCTAAAGGGATAGGATCGTGTCAATACTTTTGGTTTGGGCCACATCAATAATTGTGCCCAAAGAGGTTAACATTGCGCGCTCGATGACGGACTTCAGCGGCACGAATATCGCCTAAAGTGGTGGGGAAGAAACTAGAATGACTGTGTTAAGTGGGTATGCCTTTTTCTAACTATCCAAAGCCAGCACAAAGGCGTGGTTGGCATGACACTTGGAGTACGGGAATCAGGAGCAGAAACTTATTTTCAACGAGTCGTGCGACCAAACAAGGGCGCGTATGATTGGGGCAAGAGATGATAGGCGAGAAAGGGGTTGATCCAAGACCGCTGGGTTCTTGATGATCACGATAAGTCAGGGCAGACCCGAGCATCAATTGTTCAGAACCAGCGGGAGATATGTGCCTCTATGCTTTGACGACCACATCTTTAGGTTCCGTCTTGTCCGCAGACTCGCCGGCAAACGTGGGGAATCTATGCAGGCCAATCAATCACAGATAACATGTAGATACCAGCGTCCTACCTGGGTACGCCATCACGAGTCAATTCCTGGAAGCGATACACAATGATAGAACCAATCGATGGCGGATTGGCTCGTTGCTTGTCAGACAATCCAGACCCCACGCTGAATTTCTATTCGGGGTAGGGTCAGCGGGGCCGCTTTCATGAAAAAATGGAAAAAAAAAATGGTCACCTTCCCAGAGGCCATCTCACACAGCAATGCGCCAGTTTTGCCGGCATGCTTACCCTTACCCTTTGTGTAACCTATCACCCTTGCCTCCGCGTCGTAAAAGGTCTGATGCCAAATTAGACTCGATCCTAAAGAGGAGAAGTAAAAAAATGCTCAACATGCCTTGACCTTGAGCAACGTGTTGGATCGCGTTCCCACGTATAATGACCCGGGTTCACGCAACATGAGCCCCTCTCCACCACGAGATTCCACCTCTACTCCGCGAAAAGCGAAAATGGTTATCCCTCATTTTTTCCCTCTATCTCTCTCCACATTAGCTCACCTTTCAGCATTTCCAACACATGGTCTCGATCCCTTACGATCGTCTGTTGCTCAACGATGACGTGGTCGACTTTAGATTTCCCAGTAAATCTTGCCCCCTCTTCGGATGTATCGGAACCATCCAGGAACGTTTTGCTCAGTATGCTCATACGTTGCTCAAAAGGCTCGTTCCCCGCACTAGGGACATCGAAGATATGGTATTTGACCTCCTTCCAAGATGGTGAGTTCGCCGCTCTAACAATCGACACAACGTCCTGGAAGTTGCGTCGCCCAGCAAAGAGCTATACACAATACAGTGCCATCAGCCATGAATATGTGAGAGCACTGTGGTGACTAACCTCCCCATCCAAGGTTATATTCTTTGGCAGCTCTACCGTAAATGCGTGAAAATGAGTTGGGATACGGCTGGAAATGCCAAACAAACCATCCAAGAACCATTGCGGTGCTGCAAATGGATTTCCAAGTCGGCTGATAAGACGCTTTCCATCATAGTAAGCTCGGACTCCGTCAAGCTTCTCACTCGCCCACCTATCCATCCCTAGTAAATTATGGTAGTACATGACCCTATGCAGTCTCACTTACCACCCAGCCGGATCCTGTCCATCAAGATCCCATCTGCACAGTCTCCATGTCAGTGCAAGCTACCTATATCCATTTTCTAGCTCTGAACTTACTTGACCGCAAGAAGCAGGTCTGGTTTCTTCTTCGCTGAATCGTCCTCATCGTCCTCATCGTCTTCATCGTTGGCGTCCTCCTCGCCTATCGCCTCACTTTCCCTTTCATTGGGACCCTTTGACCTCTTTCTCGAAGGCTGGTCACCTTCGCCCGAGGCATCTTCCTGGTCATTTTTCCGCTTCTTTGAAGTTGACGCCTTAGCAGCTTTCGAAGTTGCCGCTTTACCACCTTTCTTAGCAGTGCCTTTTGACTTCGAAGCCCCAGGATTTTTCCATTCCACTCGAGCATTTTCGTATTCCTCACCGAGCAAAGATTTTAAGTGTTTACATGACCTAGCGTCGATCTACGTTGACACGCTGGGTATATGTGAATAAGACACGGAAACCAATTGGACTCACTGGTGATGAACTCTAACACACGAGTGGACGAGTAAATCCCAGAAAAATACATAAATGGCGTAAATCTACCTGCATTCGCCAAGCCTAAATTAAAGCCCACATGAGCAGAGGGAGGAGGGTCGAGTAAGTGACCTCTTACTGGACATGTGCAGTAATAATGGTCTCCCGTCCTCTTAACCTTGTACTTGCTTGAACTTAAGAACCCCAGTCAGCCTCCGCCTCATTGTTCACATCAAGTGTGTAAGGATTAGAGAACTTGCCTCGTTTGGCTGCTCACTTCTCTCTCCTCTCCGTCTGCCAATAGGACCTTCGGTTTTTTCCCCTGAATATCCGCCAGACTGTCGGACATTGCACTTCACCGATCCCGGAATATACTATTGTATGTGGTTTAGACGCAGTAAGGGACGGATAGCGTGTAGAGGCGAGCAGTTGCAACTTGTTGAAGTTCGCGCACGTGGAATGCTCGGCACCGAGTTACCATAACGGCGGCCACGCGGAATGCCTCTTTGCTCGAAACACGTAGCCCTTGCTGAAAATTTACTTTATTTATGCAAACTAGACCCATCATACGCGAGCCAGAGGCCTCTAATATATTCATGAAGGCCTCTGCTACCTGTTCGTTCAACCTGCCTTTGTAATGCCAACCCAGCACTGCATGAGGGTAGGCAGGACTCCAGCCTCTATGACAAATCTGTAGAGCATGATGGCTCCTACTCATCTGCCACCTAGGCATACTGCAGTAGTCCGCGCGACCTCGAGGTCTACCAGCTGTGCGCCGACCACAGCTGCTCAATTTGGCGTTCCAGAGCCATAGGGATTTCATTCATACAGTACATTTCCAAGAATCTTGTTATGGTCTTTTAGAAAGCTCTCTTTTGATGACAAGGCGTTGGTCGATAATTATACGGCCTTGCGAGCCCTTGTCACCCTCTATCTCAATCCGCTTGAGGGCATGCAACCGCTACCCAGCAGCTCTCCCGGCCAGAATTCCACCCGAGCCCTCACTTGTGGTCCCGTTAATTAGGCTTCAATACATCTTTACTTCAAGATTGTACAGCATTTGCGGACTGGCACAGAAACGTACTTTGTCATGAAATACGATTTTCCATCCATCACTATGCTTGAGGCTGGTGGGCGTGACTAGGTGCTTTTTTGGCTGCGGTCAGTTTCGCTCCAGGCCCTGGAGGACAAGAGCTGGAATCCTGCCTGTCGGAGGACCCGTCCGATAGAATGCGTGCATGTCGGAGACGTGATTCATAAAATTATTCGCGTGGGGCAGGTCGAAGTAGATCGAACAAGAAGGGCAAACTGCAAAATTATGATGGATGAACATGTGCATGCAACCAGGAAGAGAGTTTATTTAGATAACTCCCTTTATTCCTACTGGCCTTCGGCATCCCTCGGCACCGGCCACACCAGCGAAAATAAAGGAACGAGACACTGTGTGATTTTGGGAGACCTGCATAACAATACACACCACACTTGATTCGGGAGTCCAATGCTGGTGGATTGGTTGTATCTATTGATCGAGCCTGCGGGTGGTGGCTTGGTGCGCATTTCGTCCGTTAGACGCTACATTTCTGTGAATAATGGTGGTATTACTATATCGACAAACATTCGAACCTCTCCCGAAGCCATCTCGCATCGAAGAGATCCAGTTTTATGCGCATTGCGGCCGTGCCTTCGGTATGGCCTTCACTTTTACTTCTGCCTCGTCCCAGCCCCTTTCCCGGGGCTGCTCTCTCTTTCCCAGCCCTACCCGGTCTTGCGCACTCTACTCTCTTAACAGCTTGACAGGTCTCCCGGACTCCCTCCCATTTGTAACTTTTTGGTTCCCGTCATCCACTTTTGCTGGCCGGGAATTTGGTTTTCCGGCTTTTTCTAGCTTAGGAATTTTAACGACGACACGGGTCATTCCGTAATCCTCTGCAAGTAAGTGCATGAGGTGTTTGCATGAGCGTGCATAATTCTGGTGATTCAGTCATCGGTTCAACTTCCAATCCTGAGAATCATGGTAAGACGTACTGACGCTTCACGAACCTGCGTTCTCCAAACCTGTGAGGTCTAAAACTCAGCAGACTGGCACTATTTTAGCACTTCTGTGCAGTAGCACTTGCCACGCAGCGGCACCAATCCAATAACAGCCGTTGCTCCTCCCTACAGTTGCGGCTTCGCCTTGGTTGACTACAATGTTGTGAACACGTGTGAGATGGTAATGACCGTATGGGAAGTCATTTGGGTATCATGGCGCTTCCCCTCCATCCTTCAACAGTACCTTTGGCTTTTTCCCTTCGATTCCTGCGAGCTATCGACAGTCATTTATGTCTGGTGCACTGATGGCCTGAGCTCTGAGGGCATTGGGTTCACCCGTGACCATATGTGGGGCTTTTGCTTGCGCGAGGTTGGCTTGTATGGCTTACCTCAGCTGCAGTTGTACCCTTGCTTACGTAATACAGTGGCGGCTGGCTTGGCGGAGACAACAAGACAAAGGAACTCACTCAAGAAGTGGTCCAACCCCCCATGATAAAGTCTACTGTGCATCCTTTCTGGTCTCTTGCCTTGACCGGCGCCACTTTCAGACTCCCTGTTCAACTGCAACGATCTTTTCTCCGTCACCTCTTGGCTTACATAATGTAATGTGAGTGCTTGGCGGGGACGACAAAGAATCAGATAAAAGGGACTCATGAGCATGGACCAGTGCTCCTCACGACCAACGTTTCCACACTCTTTTCTGCTCTTTCGCCTTGTCTGGCGACATTCTTGCTACCTGCAACATACACTCCCTATTCTTTGCAACCACTTTCACTTTTGTCATCGATCTCCTTTACTTGCAAACATCGCTTTGCACAATGAAGCCTTCGCTTTTCAATATTCTTCTCGTATTTTCTTTATTTTCCTCCGCGCTTGGTCACGGATACGTCGAGTGTACGTCAAGCCATTCGGCCGAGCTTGCTGGGCGTTTGTTATTGCCGTTCTGGGGCTAATTACATCTCGTTTCAACAGCGATCACCGTGGGTGGCAAGACCTACCCTGGAAATCGCCCCTACGGGAAGGGCACGACAAATACGCCCATCAGGCAGGTAAGCATAACATTTGCTTTCATTCACCATCCTGACACCTAGATATTAAATCATTATCCCAACAGATTACGACCGTTAACCCCATCACTGATGTTGCCTCACCTTCCATGACGTGTGGGATCGGTGCCAAGATTAACACTGCATTTCTTACCGTCCATGTCACTGCTGGATCGGACATCACCTTCCATTGGGTAAGCGGCCAAGGAAAATGGGGTCACAAAACGGGTCCGATCTTGACCTACCTCGCCAAGTGCGACGGCGATTGCAAGTCTTTTGATCCTAGCAAAGCTACATTTTACAAGATCTCCCAAACTGGCCGGAAACCCAATAGCATGGTGTGGTACCAGGAGGACATCGAAAATGGTGCAAGTTACACCACGAAGATCCCTAAAGGGATCCCAAATGGGAATTATATCATTCGCAATGAGATTGTAGCGCTACACTTTGCGAATAGGAGGGACGGCGCGCAGTTCTATCCTTCCTGCTCTCAGATCCGCATCACGGGCGGGAGTGACGCCCCTAATTTGGTGGATGTCACCTCTACCAAAGGTGCCCAGTTTCCTGGCGGCTATGAGCGGAACGGACCTGGGATTTACGTCCCAGATGTCTATAGAAGCAAGAGCTATACATTCCCCGGACCCCTGTTATCACCTTCGATAAAACAGCAAGGAACAGGAACCCTAGTTCTTCATCTACTTCGAGCCCCAGTAAACCCACCAGCAGTATTAAACGTGTTAGCTCCAAACCTGTCCTCATTGTCACTACTACGACATCTTCCCTCAAGCCATCTTCGACACCACCAAAACACTGTATTCGGAGGTCGTCCAAATTGACCTCCGCAGATCGTCCCGCGAAGCGCCTGGCTAGCCCAGAACAGAAAGGGAACCTCAGTGTCATGCAAGAGCGCGCAGTTGGCCTCTAGATGCATCGAAGAACGGCTGTTGCGCTCGGACATGATCCTTCATAGGCTTCGAAATACTTTCCTCGCTGCTCGATCTTTTTTTTTTTTTTTGCGAAGTTTTTGCTCCCGGTTTAGCTTGGCTCTGAAGTGCACTGGTTTGCTCTAGCCTTCGTGTATCATGACATTCACAGGATGAATATTGCTTGTGGTTTTTGTACCGTCTCCTTGGAGCGAGATGTAAAATCCTATTCTTTTTGAATGAATCCCATTGCAATGACTCATGCGACAGGTACATCGCTACTTCTCGTACAGAGCAGAGGGATTTCAGCTTCATTGATAGACATTATGTCACAATTAAGTGCCGGCTTGGGTCATACTGCATAGTACCATAGTGTGTCTTAATGCTCGAATTGCCAACCGTTGCAGATAAGTCAAGAGTCAGGCGAAAGAGACAGGTGAGAATGAGAGGGGCAATTAGGCAGACCCGGACGATGATGGCAAGTCGGTTACGGGGAGACCTAAAAATGAGAAAAAATGAAATCTATATGACGGTAACACAGTGGGTTGGATGCGCACTTGGTGGCAGACTTTGCCGGAGTCTCTCCACGTTCTTCGCATCCTTAACACAGATCGTGTACAAGTACTGTTTGGTCCGAAGCTTGAACTTTACGATTGTCTTCCCGTGGCTAGAAATCCTCTTTATCCGAACAGCTATTGCGTCCAGCCCGAGTGAAGAAGCAGAATGGAAATGGGAATACAGATTAGGAAGAATGCACGGATAGTGAACCACAAGGACTCACATTCGGCGCCAGCAGAGCGAGTCAGCTGAACGAAAGTTTTCGGGCTATGAATCTCCTTGGGCTAAGAAAGATGCGAACGTCCGTACGAATCATTAGCTTTGGAGGGTCTGGAGGCGGCAGGGAATGTTTGTACTCGCCATTTTGACTTAGGCTGAAAGTCGACTGCACAGTTTACCGGAATTTGCCGGTGACACTGCCACTCGCCTTCATTTTGTATTTTGTATTTTGTATTTTATTTTTTATGTTCACTTTTTAACCACCTGAGAGAGGTGCAAGGACTCGAGGGGTTGGGTTGTTCTTCCTCCAACTACAGCGTTGTGAATTGCCTCATTGGACCGTCAAACTGGTGCAGCATGTGCGGCTAGCGCCAATTAGTCGATGCTGGACGTAGCTCAGTTTATGTAAGCAAACGATGCGCCAATGAACACTTGAACCTCAGTGACTGAGTACATATTGTATTCGCTGCATCATATGAATTATATAGATTCACAGGATAGATGAGATGTATATCCAACGCATGGAGTACGGCTAGGCAGGATCCCCGCCTCGGCCCTCTAAGATTTTCCTAGACGCTAGTACTTAACCTGCCCCAAGTCTTGCCGATCTGATTCAAGATTCCAGTGGGGATCGACGTGGGCCACTTGTGTGTATTGTCAATCGAATAACAAACAAGTGCCATTGCACATAGAAATAGAAATGGCTGTTTGAGGAACAGGGAGGCAGTTCAGGCAAAAATGCCAGCCGGTCGATTCGGCCAATTCCGCTAGTATAAGTCAGATCGTCGGGAGTCACGTGGCCGTAGACTCTTCAGCACTTCTGCCCGTCATGCAAGGTCCTCCAAACCGCTTAGGATTAGGCTTGAGGCCCCCAATGTCCTCGTATGGGCAGGGCCCGCCATTGGATCTCTTCCGCCTTCAAATGTTATGTATGGGTATCCCCAACCAGGCGTACCGCCTTCAACAGAAAAACTCACGACTTTGTTCGTTGGAGGTATATCTGCTGGCGTTACGGACGATTTTATGAATTCCTTACTTTCTGTGAGTCGAAAAGGCTTCAATGAATGCTTTGAATGGATGGGGGGATTCAGTGGTGACCTTCTTTAGGCCTGTGGTCCTCTTCAAAGTTTCAAGCGATTGACGAATCCAAATGGCAAGCCTCAAGGTTTTGGCTTTGCGGAATTCGAGGAGCCAGATTCTGTCCAGCGCGCATTGACACTTCTTCATGGGAAGACCATTCCCGCCGTCGAGCCGGGTGCTCCCAATAAGAGTTTGGTGGTGAGTGCACCCAGTTGTCCCTCCCGGAGCTCACTTCATCCTCTTTGTGCTACCACTCGGCCAGGTGAGAGCAGATGATAAAACTAAAGCTTATCTGCAAATGTATGAGTCACAAAGAATTAGAACCGATGTGAGTTCATGATTTTTTCTGTACTCATCGCCTCCGCATTACTTACCTCAACCTTTCAGCAAGACGATGCTGCGGATATGACCGCCGAAACTCTTATCTCCTCCATCATTGACCAGTCGGCTGCTGCTGCAAGAGCCAGTGGCAATGCCGCCCTAAATGAGGCACAAGCTGCCGTTCCACCCCATCTGCGCGACCTGCAAGAATCTGATCTACCCGAAAACCAGCGTGGTCTTGTCATTTCCGAGATAGCCCTCTTCCGAGATAAGGCCATGAAGCGAGACAAAGAAGTCCCAGACACGACCCGAATGGCGTCGCGTGCTGCTGGGGTAGGCGGTTTCTCTCGTGGTGCAGGCCCAATCCCCAGTGGTCCTAAGGAGCGAGTTTGGGGTAAGCCCCAGGGAAAGCCGGCCCCGGAGCCCAGCCAACCGAGTTCGCGCAAAGGCAGTTGGGACAGAGGACCCATTTCGCGTGATCCCCGTCTGCCAACTGGGTTCGTCAAGGGTCATGATGCAATTCCTGCAGAAGATGGTAAATCTGATGAGGAGCTAGAGAGGGAGAGAAAAGCTACGAGAAGACGGGAGGAGGATGAGTCATTTAGAGATGTACGCAATTTCCGTCCCAAAATGGCTAGAATTAACAGTATTATCCCTAGCGTGAGCGACGGTACGAGGCACGTGAAGATCAGCGCCTTGCCAGCTTGGAGCGACTCATAATGCGCACCCAAGCGGCTGCAAAAGCCAAGGAGATCGACAGGGTGGAGATAAGAGAACGGCTGCACGTTTGGGATGACGACGAGAGCGATGAACTGTTCTACACAGACTGGTGAGTCTTCAGTCACGAAATTTCACGAGATCGAATTCGGACTTCCATCCAGTGCTCGATGGCGCTCCCAGAGAACACGCCACTTAGCCATCGAGCGTGCAGCTGATGAACGATCACGGGAGATAGAGGCCCGCCAAGCGGAACATCTCCGAGTCGAATCGGAGGCTTTCCTCGCGCGACAGAATGCTGAGATACAAAGTCTTGCAGAAGAACAACGCAAAGCAGGGATGCTTCTCGACGACAAACCTATCAAATTATCTATTGGCGGCACTGCAACAGGGGCAGGTAATGCCAGTGATGCGAACAAGAGTGGTCTGGCGGCTGGTGCGAAACCTAAAGTCACTGCTCCTGTGTTTGGTGCCGAGGACGAAGATGATGACACAGTGCAGAAAAAGAGGGCGCCATTACAGAAGATCGATTTTGGTGGCGTCGAGGCTTCTGGAAGGCAGGAGCGCTTGGAGACACTCAAAGCGTCTGTCAAGAAGGACAAGGAGTCCGTTTTCAAGGCCAAGATTCGCTGGGACGGTATTACTGATGTATGGAACTCTTTCTGCATTGGTAACTCCTGTTCTGATCCTCACCTTCATTAAGGAATTGATTGAGGGCAAGTTGGAACGTCTGATAAAGCATAAAATGATCGACTATCTTGGCGAGCTGGACGATGATGATCTGGTTATGTTCGTTATAGAGCATCTTAAAGACCACAAGCCAGCCTCTAAACTTGTCGAAGGACTGGAGCCGGTGGGTTGCCAACAAACTGTTCTTGGATGCCGTACTAAGTGCAATTTCCCAGGTGTTGGTGGAGGAAGCCGAGGAATTTGTTCTCGTCATTTGGCGTCAGCTCGTCTTCGAAAGTCTTTCGTACAGCGAAGGAATGGAAACAGACAACATCATGGTGGAATGAACGAAACGTGGCCAATGACGTCGCACCAGTCCGTCTCTTATCACTCACATTTCAGTTTGCTTTGTACATTACTGCCACTCTTTCCTCTACGTTCCGGTCGGTTCCTTGACCATCCCTCCAGCTAGCCCCTAGGCATCCAAGATTCCTGGGCCGCAGTGCCATCTTCATTCGAAATATCTCAGATGACCTCGCATATAGTGAGTACCGCAATATTATTCCATGCTCCGTCAACTACCTGTAGGAAGCACGCGTCCCACTAGGACAAGGACATGGTGTTTGGCATACTCGTATGCCATCCTAATTAGGGTATTGCGATGCGGGAGGTTTCACCTGTAGTCCATACAACGCATACTATTGGAACAAATGCTCTCGTAGCTCTCTAAACGACAGTATTATTCAATTACATTATTACGCAGCATGAGTTTTGCTGTGGCAATGCGACTGTGGATCAGGATGATTCGAGTGTCGAGGCTCGGAGGACAAACCTGCTTTGCCTTCTTGTAAAAAACCTTGCTGGATGCACTCAATGCATTTGATCGATCGACCAAGTCGTCAAGTTTGGTACCTCTTTCCAGGACGGATTCGATTGTCTTGTGCTGTGCATCCAGGCGCTTAGAGTGGATTGTCCTAAAGTTTCGAGAAAAATACGCACCAGGATAATCTTTGTCTCATCCAATTCTTGCTGAACTCTCAAAATAGAGTCTGCTTGTCTTGGGTCCTGATATTTCTCAAGGTACGCCTGCAGCTGAGGAAAGGAAATGGATGATGGATTAGAGTATGCCGTTTTCGGAATAGTGGTGGCGAATTCATCCAATATTTTCTGGAGCAATGAGAACGCTGGTCTAACAGGGTATTCCTGGTCCGCAATGATGGTTGCTATTTAATAATAGGTCGGTTCTCAACAACTTCAGCGAACGACGCGTTGCTCTCCTCAGAGTCAACAGTGCAGTGGTGGGGAACACATCACTTACCAGCCAACTGCTCGGTACCACCCCTATTGTAAGCATGGAAAGTATACGAGCCCTCCTGAACACTCTGCCGTTGGCCCTGCTGGGTCCGTTCGACGACAGTCTTCGAGAAGAAAGTCATAAACTCTTGCACGCTTCCTTTCTGATAGAATGAGTACGAGGAAAGATCGGAGACTGTTGCCAACGAAACAACATTCCCCTTGGGAAGGGCTTCAAATATGGAGATTGAATAAATCTTCATGATGATCTGCGTGAACGCTCAAGCTCAACGTTGGAGGAATTGCGATCGACTAAGTGGGGCAGTGCTATCATCGGCGGAATTTTGCTTCCGGCATGAAATGGTTCGCTCAAAACTACGCAAACATGCGCGCAAGAAACTGGAGCCGTCAACTTTTGATGCAGAGAGACCTGATCGAAAGAATCCCTCACTTGCCATAGATCAGGATGGTTCAGATGATGAAGCTCCAGAAGCCGTCGAATCTCCGCCGCAAGAGCTGATGCCTTGAACCGGGAACAAGAAGTGCAAAGCTTTCACGTACAGTAAGCTGTCATAGATACCTGCGTATGTACGGAAACAATGATTATGTTCCCTAGAGCTGCAAAAAAACGTAAGGAGGCCAACAAGGCACGCGCTCAAGCCCTACTGGCTAATGCTCAAAGGCGAAAGGCGGCCACAAACCAACGTAGCAGACCGGACCGTAATGAGGTCGAAGAGGATCCTGACACACTTCGCCTTCGAAGTCGGATGCAACGGGCTATGGAAGAAGCTGACCTGGAAGCAGAGATTTCTGACGACGCCTCAGAGTTCGCCACACCAGCTGATGGACCCCTCAACCTCTCGGAACGCTCAGGACATCCGAATCCAGTTGCTGAGTTCATTGATGCATATGGAGAAGGCGATGAAGATGGCGAAGCGTCTCACATGAAAATTCTGAAAGTATGGACGACTTGCAGTTATCCGCCCACATCATTGGCCCCAAAATCTCTCTTCTTCCCACTACCGAATGCCATTAGAACTTCCTGACTCGGTATTCGCTGAGGCCGCTGCAGAAAGGACACGTCTTATTACAGAGAGGGGAGGGATGAACAACTGGAGCGTAGCCGAGCCGCCGGCGGAGTCCAAGATAAGCGAAGACCACTCGGAGTAACAAAGATTTGATCGTAGGGTAAAGTATCTGACCATGATACCCAATTCTCCCTCTTATTTAACCTCCCCATAGTTCTCGAATTGTCAGGACGCTCCCAAACACTTTACTCCTGGATCCGGCTCCGGCAGCGGAGTCTGTCAAGAAACTGCTGGAAACTGCCAATCAGCCAAGGCCAAGGGCTTTCAACGGAAAGCAGGTGCGCTAATCTGTATTGGTCGCCGGGGGACATGTCTAACTACGCGCTCAACCTTAGCTTATCTCGCGGCGGCAAAACGAAGCACCACTCTTCGCCCCGCATCGAGTTTCTCAATCTTGGATCGGCGATGAGTCCTCCGCACAACTTTCATGGCCTGCTGTGAGACTTTGAGCATGTGCACCTTATTGGGTTCTAGTTCTTATGCTTGAACATGAGTGCTCCGGGCTGGGATCTGAATACAATATGATGACCAGTTGTTGCTCAGTGCAATATTTGGGGCTGCCGGGTTGAGACGCGAGTCTCTAGTGATAATTGACACTTCTGTCCATACCGAACATAAAAGGCTGCGATTGGAAGATCTGCGTAACATTCCTCGGCGGCGGTTTGTTGATGAGGGCAATGTGCTAGGTGCGAAGGTTGCTTCCTGAATGGTTAGTACACTGGCGTGGGAGGGGTTCTTCCACAGGGAATGAGCTGTGATGCATTGAACATAGGCTTCGGGATGAGAACACACCTATGGAATCTCATTGAGGCGCATAAGTTAAGATCAGTGACCATAGTGTTGTCACCTGAGGTCAAAGCGTTGTATCGGTCGATCTATTTCTCTGGACGTCAGCACGAATAACACCCCAGTGTTCCATTGCATGTGGCGGCCAAGTCGAGAGGAATGGACCGCAACG